CACTAGCTATGCGAAACACTTAGGTACCAGTTCAACTTTGAACTATGCTAATGTACTGCTGCACGGATGGAATTCCCAGACATGGGCCACTGTATGTAAACGTCGTTTGAATCGCCATGCCACACTGTAGTGTCCAGCGTGAGTGGATTTCGCAGACATGCAATGAGGCTTATGCCAGTAGGTTTGAATGCACAAGGACTCCGAGATGTCAATGTAGCAGGGGCTTGGTAGTTGCCACGAGTCCCGTCAAGAGTGTCGTATGGGTTCGGAGCTTCAAGCTTATCAAACCGAGGCCAAGCCCAAACTTTCCATTGAGTGGGCGGTTATGATGGTGGTGACGCGGACGCCCTCGCCGTGTAACCCGTGAGTCGCTTGTGTGTAAATCGCCTCCCCGACCCTCCGACGTGCGTCACTTGGAAGGATGGAATTCTAGCTATTCCGAACAGGCCACTCAAGACTGGCTGAAAGCTAGAGGCAAATCTGGAGCACAGGAGAAGACCATGGAGTGTATTTTCATGGACGCGGTAGGAGATCGAGCTCATGGGCTGCAGCGCTGAATTGAGCAGTCGCTCCGGGAGACCGGGAAAGACCCAAAGAAACTGAAAACGATCGGAGTTGTCGACTCGAGAGACCGCCGGTCCGGGGAATCGGACACGGGCGCTTGTGGATTGGGTCATGTCATACGTTTCTCGTCGTCCCCACTCCCGTATGTAAAACAGCCCACTCTTTCCTTCTCTGGGTCCCGCAGTTCGACCTCTCCTCTCCCGCAGCGGGACACTGGTGGCCTCCGTGCAATCCTGACGACTAACGACTACACGCTATGAAGTTTGCACGGTTCGTCACACGTGAATTTGAACGCCTCGGAGACTGATTTTGACTTCTCTCTGATGCTCTCCTTCACCGGCATCTCTGCACGCGTGCAGATACCTCGAAGAAACACAGGTGCGCCGTCCTTACAGGTCCTCGTTCGACGCGGCAATCACTCACATCTATATTCGGCAGACTCCCGAGTGGAAGAAGGCTTACATGTGAGTCCTTACCAGTGTCACTCAACTTCGTCTGATTGTACTCGCTTGATGAACGGCACAGAGACTACCGGGGTCTCAAGAAGAAGATAACCGCCATTCGCCGTGCCCAAGACGAACTCAAAGCTGAAACTGGGTCCGTTCGCCCTAATGTGAACGCAGATACTTGTGCGCGCCCGTCGTCAAATTCTGCAGATGTTGCCGGGAAAATGCCAGACTTGCATACTTTCGCCGATGCTAATACGTCAGAAGATGAAGAGGGACCGATGTCGTCTGTTGCACATTCAAACTCAGGTGCAAGCATCGACAAAAGCCTTCTTCCCCGTCTCCGGCGACGTAGTACTGCTCTGTCCGTATTCGTTCGTTCTCAGCTGCCGTCGCCTTCACATGAGCTGCCTCAGCACCCTCCGCCCTCTGCTCCTCCTGCGACTGGCCTCTCCTCGCAGCATACGCAAGCGTCACCGAGCGAGCAGAGAAGAGCAAATATTCGCGCACTATGGTCCTTGGGAGAAAATCCGCCTCTCCGAGAACTCCTGCCGCTCCTGACGCCGGTTCAACGTGCATTCTTCGAGATGCTGGATGGTCAGCTTGATATGGTGGAAAGTTTCTTTTGTGCGCGTGAGCTGGAAGTCAGACAAAAGTAAGTCGAATCCCTTCTCTGAGGCCTGGGACTCGAGGTTGGATATCACATTCGCGGGCGCGGATATAATGTCGCTGTTTTTCTCATGGAGCTTATCAAGTTACGTATAGGTATGATGCGTTGAAGGCCCAGCTGCATGCACTCAAAGATCACAGGCAAGCCTTCCATGTAAGCACGTCTAGCTGGACATACAGATTCGAGTGTCGACGTTTCTCCTCGTTATCAGGAGGCACATCCGCACGTATCCGCAACCCCTTCATGGCTGCCTTTCACACTTCCACCCATTCCATTTGTCTTGCGTCGACTCCATCGACAGATGGTAAACATTCGTCTCAAGCCTGGATCGTCTGCGGGACGGCATGGTAAACTCAGAAAACCATCATCAGATAAGCAAACGGACCAGGATGAAGATGGCGGCACGGAGGAGAGGGCCATTGGTGAAAGCGATAGCATACCAAGCCATGAAAATGGACTGGGCGAAATTCATTCGGTGGCAACAGTGGAAGATGACAATCCTGTTGGCCATTCCAACGAGGTGGCTCTTGGAACGGATCCCGGCAGTCCTGCGGACACAATTGTCGATGTTCATGAGCTGCAGCGTGCGCATATTGGCTCCAAGGACAGGGCTCCCAGACGTTCTCTATTAGAGAGTCGAACTTCAACATTGAATGAGGCTAGTTCCCCGCGTCCTCGTGCCAGGTTACCTCAGATTGCTGAGGTCGCGCGTGACCCGGATGAGTATATACATGCAAAGAAGAAGCTGAGGAAAGCCATACAAGAGTTCTATCGGTATGTATTAAGTGCAAGGGCGTAGTGCTCGCGCCAACTTATATTCGATGTTCTTCCTTCCAGCGGTGTGGAAGTGTTGAACAATTATCGAGTACGTACTTTCATCCGGTGTAACTCATGTATCTCAGTCTAGACGGGATACCAGACGCTCAATCTTATCGGCTTCCGGAAAGCTCTGAAGAAGCTCGAGAAAGTCACACACGTGAGTATCATTACTGCCTTCTCTGAAACGGCGGCACGATTTTGTTTGGTGAGATTAACCCCTAGTCATGCTATGCAGATACCAGCCCAACAAGCTTATACTATAGAGAAAATAGAGCCGAGTGCATTTGCGTCTGGAGCAAGCTTGAATTCCATGCTTCGCGAAACAGAAGACTTGTTCGCTGCCCGGTTCGGTGTGTATATGTCCTTCACAATGGGCATAGTCTTCCGCCTAAGCTCAATGCTTGATATTTTATACTTAGCGCGTGGAGACAAGAAGAAGGCGCAGGCCCGTCTTCGTGGAGGAACGCAGCAAAAAACGCACCATTTCAGCACGTTTAGAACGGGAATGCTCCTTGGTCTCGCTGTTCCCGCCCTCGTTGACGGAGTGTATAGAAGTAAGCCATTCATCTACGTAGCCACACTACCTCCCAGAAAATATAGAGGCTCTACAGTACTCATGCATCTACAACAGGTTTCCAGCCCGAGACGCGAACAGCGATACCATCGTGGGACGGTCTGTTATTCGTGTACGGGATATTCTCAGTCCCAGCCCTCTTCCTCCTTTTGGTTGGCATCAACCTGCTTGTGTGGCATAAGGCACGGATTAACTACGTTTTCATTTTTGGTGAGTTCATTTGTTCGAAATGTATGCGCTCGCCCGTGTGACGATTTGCCCTCGCGGGCAGAGTTTGACCTACGGACGCGTCTAGATCACAGAGCATACTTCGAGGTAAGCCCAGAGAACCTTGCTTCGGACTAGACTTATACAATGTTCTCCCTAGCTTCCGTCCCTCATGATTTCGACGCTCTGTTATGCTTTCTGGTTATCGTTTGCGCGCGTAGGCGCAAGTTCCGTCGATCCTTCCAATTGGGCTTTGATCTGGCTGGCTTGGGCTATGGCCGTTTGGCTAAATCCCCTGCCGATATTATGGAGGTCATCACGCTATTGGCTAATCAGGAATATTGCCAGGCAGCTGACCTCTGGTGTTAGACGTGTAGAAGTGAGTTCACTTTCAATCTGACTTTCTCAGTTCTAAACGTCATCTTGTAGTTTCAGGATTTCTTCATGGGGTTTGTCCCTTCCAGCATTGGAGCACTGCTTCAGAAGCTGATTGTTGGATCCTTGACAGTGACCAGTTTTGCAGCGTTGTTTTCACTTTGGGAGATTTATTTTTTGTTGGCTGTGCTTATGACCGCCACCTCGGGAATTGGCGGATATGCACGACAGGCCAATATTGGGCACCTGCGTTTGCGTTTGCGGCCATACCACTATTTGCCCGTTTTGTGCAAAGTATCCGGCGATGGGTGGACTCGCGTCTCAATACCCATTTGATCAACGTTGAGTCATCTTGCTGCAGCGCTGTATTTGAGCGAGCTCACACATGTGTTCAGGCAGGGAAGTATGGTACTGGTGTCATCTATTACTTCAGCTATTACCTGTGGAGAGCAACAGGTTTGTTTTCTCTCTCCCTTCGTTACGCCGCATCTACAGCTAGTTGGCATTGGTAGGAGGTCAACATGGTCCTAGATTCGTCGCCTGGTTGGTCCTGGGCGTCATATACGCCTCGTATGCTGCCGCTTGGGTACGTACTTACGTAAACATAATAGTTGCTGTGAGTGTAACCTTTGCTTCTAGGATATCACCATGGATTGGTCCTTGATGCGTCCCCACGCGAAACACCGATTTCTGCGATCGGACTTGATGTACCCATCATATATATGGGTGAGTTTTCCAAATTAGCCGCTCTATTATCAATTGACGAATAAATTTCCCATAGTTGTACTATTTTGCGATTGTATGTCGGTCTTTTCGTTCAATATTCCACTACTCATTGTACTTGCAGATCTCAGATATCATCATACGTTTCGAGTTTCTTATGTACGTCCCCCAGCAAGGGATCAACTATGAGATACGGACCTGGATCGCCGGGATGCTGGAAATGCTTCGTCGGTGGCAATGGAATTTCTGTGAGTGATCGTCGTTCCTTATAAATGCGAACTGTCTCTGAACACTCTGTCAGTCCGAATGGAGAATGAGCACATAGGTAACATGGATCAATACCGTGTCACCAGAGAAGTGCCTCTTCCGTATTCCTTCGACCATTCGCCGCACGAATCTGATGGTGATGAGGACGACGATCCCGTAGAGCGCGCGAGCACATCCAGCAAGTCTTGGCGTCAGCGGAGGACGCGCATGCCACCTGCAGACATTGTTGAAAGGACTCATGATTTGTGACGGACAACAATGATGATCATTGATTATAAGCCACTATGGCTGCATTTCATATTGACTGATCCTATTCGATAGCTCGAGATTCCGCAGGTGTTATAATTTTGGTTAATAATCCTTCGGGGTTGAATGATGAGTGGCACTTCATGGCACAAAAGCAGACGCAAGTAACACGTATTGGGCTGAAGTAGCACTGGAGCTTGCACGGGACATCGTCCCATGAGTACCAGTTCTTTTATGGCAGGCGGCAGGCGGCAACAGATGCGAGCGTGGCACAGAGCGTCGAAGTTGCAGCATACGATGCGAGCTCACCCGTTGTTCCTCTCAAAATGCCGATGTTAGCAGCACTGCGCACTATCATACAGCATCAGTTCAACTTAGCTACAAAAACTGGCGCACGTGATAAGGACAACTGACTTCTCAGTGAGCTCATCCGAAGTTCCGCCACCCTTGAAGCTTGACTCTTGAGTTTTCGATACTCGGGCTGCCTGCGATTTTCAGTGAGCTCAGTCCACCCCTCCAGTAAATGTTGTCGTCAACATACGAAATTCCTCTGTATTTAATATTCTAGTCTCGCTATGCGTGTCGTTGTAACCGGCAAGTCTGAGTCTCAGGTCGGTCTCTAGTCAGTGAGGTGCTCATCATGATTCACTTTTCAAGGCGCATCTGGAGTGCTCGGATCTGCAATCTATGATGCTTACAAGTCATCCGGGCATGATGTTCTTGGTCTTGCACATTCAAGACCAACTGATGAGCTTAAGAAGGTCGATTTGCTCGACCTGCCTAAGGTGGAACAGACCTTCACCCGATTCAAGCCCGATTGTGAGTATATTCTCAATTCCCAGAGCCCCTAGCACTAAATACGGATTGTAAAGGGGTCATACATTGCGCTGCCGAGAGACGACCAGATGTTGCGGAAAGGGTATGTGTTAATCGTATGTATAACGGAATAGGCGCTTATGTTATCTACAGGATCCGGAAGCAACTCGTCAGGCAAGGGTCCACTGATCGTACACGCGCAATTCCTGTTTATGCTTCGGCCGTCTTTATTAGCTGAATGCAGTTATACCTGAATACCTCGCCAAACTTTCAAAAGCCTTGAGGTTCACACTCGTATACATATCCACAGGCATGGAATGAATATGTTGCACATCTTAGTAGTATCACTGATATCCGGCTGCAGATTATGTCTTTGATGGAACTTCACCTCCTTACACACCTTCTGCAGTCACAAATCCAGTGAACCTGTACGGTACGACCAAGCGCGATGGTGAGCTTGCCGTCCTTGGTGTGGTTGGTAGCAAGAGCATTGTCCTCCGTGTTCCCGTTCTGTATGGACCCGCACCTCACAATACCGATTCGGCGGTCAACGTCTTGTTGGATGTTGTCACGGACCAGTCGGGGAAGCAATACAAGATGGACCACTATGCTACCCGTTATCCTACAAATGTCGTCGACATTGCCGACTTTCTTGCGCGATTGATTTGTGAGTGTTGGAGGCTGCATTCATGTCTGATATGAACATTGCAATCAGCTAATATGTATGCGCATTAGCTCTTCCATCGTCGCGAGAAGTCCCTCCTATCTTGCACTACTCCGCAGGAGAACCGTTTACGAAATACGAAATGTGCCTTGTTTTTTCTCGCATCCTTAACCTGCCGCACGCACACATCATCCCGGATGCAGAGCCGCCGAAGGTATGTACCGCTATACCCATCTTCCCTCATTATAAATCTCCGATTTAGGGAGATGCGGCTACGACACGACCTCGCGACTGTCAATTATATACTCGCGAGACGGAGGACCTCATTGAAGGCTACGGTGGCCTTGGGTGGACTCCATTCGAAGAGTGGTGGGAAGGTCACCTCAAGACACAGCAGTGAATTCATACTGTCGCTGCTGTAAATGTGTGTGTGAACGAGCGGATCGGTCCGTGCTGGCGTAGCAGAACGAGACATGAGTGGCAGTTCCTGACGATGTATTGTACGTGTATCGAGTATGTTCCAAGTGATTTTTAGAGTCGGCGCTTTGGCTGAAAGTATAAGAAACAGCTTATTTTTCCCCCGTCAAATAGCTTGGTGAGTATGCCTATTCGGCATCAGGTCGAGTTTTTCTAATTTTCTCGATTATTCGTGGCACGATCACCTGATCGCGTCCAACTCCAATCTTGTGGGGGCATACGTCATGGTCATGCAGACGAGTATATAAGTGACAGCGAGTCGTCTCGAACTCTTGGACCAAATCTATCACCTCCTGAATTTCTCTGGAATATCTTTGAATAATCAATTACATCGGTTGCCGTCGCAGACATGTCTTCTAAATCCGGAAAATCATTCGGAACGCAATCCCCTCCTCTTGAGGCTACAGGCGAAGACAAACCAATGGGCGTCTCTTCCGTAGACGGACATAAGCCTGACGCTGTTTCGGATATGCAGCAACGGGAACGTACGTTTTTCGACGCGAGAATAGTAATTTTGCGATGGCTCATATTATGTCATAAATTCCAGAGTACTTTCAGAACACTCAAACAACAAAGGAGAGTACAAATCAAGCGGGCACCGGAATTCCATCGGTACACGTCTGAAATCGTAGGGGTTAATTCCCGGCTAACAGTGTCGTACATGTAGCAAACCAAGATCAAGACGGATTGAAGTGTATCTTGGTGAACGTGGGACAATTGGGATTTGCTGAATCCCGCGGGCGTCATCCTGGATCAATAGAGCGTGCATTATATGAGTGGATCGTGTGTACTGTATTCGGGAGGAAGACCCAGCGTAATATAACGCAGTTTACAGCACATCGATGGTTGTGGGTCATTGAGTGACATTGATATACATAGTCTCACACCAAAGTCCTCCAGAGTTCACGTGTGAGAGGGGTTTGGGTCGAACCTATTGAATATACATGCGTTTGCGATTCGAAGTTCCAACGGGATCTTTTCCATCAATATCTCTTCCCTGTTACCAGGTTACCGTTCGATATGTGAACTACATCGGTGTACTTCAGTAATTAAGTAACAGCGGCCTTTATAAATGATCGTGTTGGTGACGACCGCGCGCCTATCAAACAGCTTCGCCGCTGCCGATATAAGGGCGGTGCTTTCTGTCCATTTGAGGCGAGCTCCTCGGTTCCCTTGAACTAAGCAATAATCGGGTACAGGTACTGGCTAGTAAGCGTTGACCAGGTCTCAAGCTTAAGAGACACACTAAGAAATATCTTTAGCCTTGCTTGTTCATTTTGTTAAAACACATTCACATTCTGTCGTCGCTGGCTCGCATTTTCAAATTCTACGTCGACACTCTTCTCCTGGCTTTGTCGTGTCCGAAATGAGCTCCCTCATTGTCGCTTCACTTGCATTGGTCGCAGTGGCGGCACCAGTCCTTGCGCTTCCTATGTGAGCTATTTTTCCAATTTAATGCAGAGTTGGATAGGCTTGACATTGTTAGAACAAGGGACGATCTTGCTCTCCGCCACACAATGAAGTGAGTATATGTTTTAGTGTACATCTAACTTTTTTCTAATCAGGCGTTGTTAGGTATCGCCGGGCTTCAGACCAGGTTGGTAGCATATTTGCCCGGGATGACACTATTACAAGCAACAATCCGTAAGTCAAGCAGCTCTTAGCCTGTCAGCTTTATTGTACATATAGAGCTATCAGGACAACATACTATCGCGGTGAAGTTGGCCTTCCTGTGAACAGAAAATCTCGACGATCTCCTGAACCATTTGTGATTACCTCAAAATCAAGGTGAGTTGTCAAGACAGCTTCAATCTACAACGCTTTTATAACAATTTACAAGGGTGTACATCCCCGCCTGCCATACGGGACGCGCGTTTTGTGGTCGATCGGTTCTGGATGAGTTGGACTGAGTCGTTCATTCCCAGAAGTAGATTATGACACCTGTGATGACCATGATGACAGTTTCTGAATGCATTCATCTGAGGAGCTCACAAAAAAGTTGCGATTAGGTGGGGAATGTCCAATGGGGGTCCAGACGACTATGAGCCGAGCCCTGAAATGATGTGAACCAATACTTCGCAAAAGATATCATGCCAGCTGTAGTGTTGCAAGTAGAGCATAGGCTCATTCGCATGCTGCGGTGTATGCTCGTTATGTGTCACCGAAGATCGGCTATAGAACTTCGCTCCGGTATACCCGCACAGCTGTCCAAATACCCCGCCGACGACTTGTAGACCATCACTATATCTATAAGACCGTTTGATAGTCCCAATTCCACCCGTGCTCACGCGGCATTGCTATTGTGATGTACAAGGCCTTTTGTGCTGCGCCCTTCCGTGACAGTCACTAGGCCAAGGGACTCGCGAACCTGCGGCGATGCAAAGAACGTGAATCGAATGAATAGGCATTCCAGAATCATCAATAACGAATTGGAGGTAGCGGCTCGGCGCGTATTGTCGCTAAGTCGACAGATTGGTCAATTGCTTCATCGACTTCACCAATCAAGACGCTGGCGAGATTATTTTAAACGATAAATTTCAAAGATAAAAGAGTCGATATACGTACATCTGGTCACCCTTGACAAGGTAAAGGCCAAGAGGAATCTCCTCGACACCTTCATCAGCGCTATAAACGCGCTCCTTCGAGTCCGACAAGACGACATTCGATTTCTGGTCGTACCCGGCCATCACACCCTGAGAAATAAACAGGTGCATAAGAAGATACGTAAGGGGTCCGTCAGGATGACTTCTATCCATAACGACTCACTACAATAGAACGACCATCCTGCAGGATGAGTAGAATACGATCTGAGAAGTATACGGAGCAAGTAAGACCGTAATCCCTTTGTCAACTTAACAGATACAGATCAAGATCAAACCATAGGAGAATGGTGACTTACGGTCGACGTAGCCTTGAAGGCTAGCCATGCTAAAATTGTGTTCGTTGTGAGTGATCGGCTGTTTCTGACAACTCCCTGCCAGTGCCAGAACCTGGAGAACCGTGGCTGAGGGCATCGTCCACGTGATGCAGGGTATCTGACGCCCCACGAAGCGCCCGCCGGCGATAATGCATGATTGTCTGACTCTTCCATTTGTATTCTCTCTCCCGCATAGTCACGCTGTATATTCCTAGACTGACAATTTGGTTGCGAAGATTCTTCGGATGAGATCCGTGAGTCTTTTGCTTGTTGTATTTTGAGTCCTCGTGATCCTATTAATGTGCCAATACAGAGAACTTCACGGATAGCGGCTAAGCCCCGGACCGCTCGTTATATTGTCTCACCAATTACTGCAGAGTATTGAGAAATGAAATAGTAACATTCCCTCTTTTCTGGTGAATAGAAGCTCTGTGCGGCCCGTTGGAAGGACATGAGGACGAGAACATTCTCACAGACGGCACTCTTGTAAAAGAAGATTTCAGACAAGAGGATAAATGGCTTTGTGATGGGGCCGATAGTGGTGCGACTCACCACGATGTACTTGGGATTACTTTCTTTCCTGCTGCTCGCTGTTGCCGCCGCCGCTTATGAGAAGATTTGTGCTGTCAAAGCTCTTGGTGGGGGCCGCGATGATGGACCCAGCATCAACGCTGCATTCCAAGAATGCTCAGAGAACTCTATGATCATCTTGGATAGCTACTACAGTGTAAACACACTTCTCCTTACGGAAGGATTGGATCATGTTGATGTACTGCTGAGCGGTACAGGTAGGCGTGTTGTTTTCAAATGATTTGGCGTTAGGTTTGTGTTTATAGATTTGCTTAGTGCAATATACTCCGAATATTGCATACTGGTCTCCGAATAGCTTGTATCTCACGTACCAAAACGCGTACGTATCAATTCTGCAATATGGAAGTGTCTTCAATCTCAATATTTTCTAGGACGACTTTCTGGTTCATGTCCGGAAACGATATTCACATCTTTGGTGGTGGAACGATTGACGGTAATGGTCAGGTTTGGTACGACGCGTTCAATGAGACACAGGTATGTGCAGTATATCTTTGTGTGCTCCATGACTCCTTACAATGACGACTCGCAAAGAATGAAGGAACTGCGGGAAGTTCCACGCTTACATTCGCACGTCCCGTCATTTTAACTATTGGAAATGCGTCGAATGTTATTGTGGAGGACATCACCGAGATTGCCGCACCGAACTGGGTTAGTTCACAATCGTTTCGACCGTTGTGTATACCTTGAGCTGAAAGGGCTCGCCTATTGAATAGAATAACGTGAGTCCTCTTGTATTAGCCGCGCGTTGCAGCTATCAACAGGGAACATTGCAGTTTGTCTATCAGAGCACCAACGTGACCTACAGAAATATCAAGTAGGTACTGACTTCCCACCCGAATGGCATGGGCTAAATTGTCCTCAGTATAAGCTCGGTTTCTTACTCAAGTGCACCCGCAAAAAACACAGGTTCGCTATACTCCCCAAGCTAAATTTTTCTTATCAGGATGAGCAAATCGATAGATGGCTGGGATATTTACCGTTCCTCATTTGTCACAATCGCGGACAGTACCATCAACAATGGGGATGACTGTGTTTGTGAGATTCATGATTTTGAATAAGTGAAGCTTCTGTGATGACTCCTTATTCTTTTGCCTGTGACAGCGTTCAAGCCCAATTGCACAGACATGATAGTTACTAATCTATGGTGTAATGGCTCCCATGGAATCTCTGTTGGTAGTCTTGGACAGGTGGGTTTTCTCAATCATACTTGCGCTCAAACTTGCGTGATCTAAAGCCCCTTCCAGTATGCTGGTGAAACGGACATTGTTGCCAATGTGTTTGTCAAGAATGTCACTATGCGCTATGCGGAGAACGGAGCCCGTATAAAAGTGTTTGGAGGAAGTCCGGATCCGTGTGCGTGTTTGCGTCAGCAATCCGAGGTTCGTGCTTTGATGACAATTGCCGCCACCTCTAGACAGCACTTCTGGGGGTGGTACCGGTTATGTGCAGAATATCACATTCGAAGATTTCTACGGTGGGTGCTTGGATCTTCCTGTCATAGTCTCCACAATTATCAATGTGATGTCCTTAGTATACGAGGTGGACAGCCCCATCATCACTGATCAGGTACGTACAAAGCTCTTGATCGTGGTGTTGTCTCGCTCATTGAAGCGAAGTGCTACTTCACGAGCACCGCACAGTGCGAGGAGTATCCGAGCAAGCTGACTATATCTGATGTGCATTGTATGTTCTCTTTCGTTTACTCATAACGAATTGTATTGACTGACCCTCAACTATTTAGATATTAATGTGACAGGAACTTCCTCTGGAGCGGAGGGAAGTTTGGTCGTGGATTTAGTCTGTTCAGAAGAGTGTCAGGACATCACAGCCACAGGCACGAACCTCACTGCCCCAGATGGCCAAGCCACTTACATCTGCGAGAATATCGCAAGTGTGAACGAGGTGTGCGAGTTACAAATATGCTCCCCAGTTTGGAAACTAAATAAGTTATCTATCGGGTCCACAGCTCGACTTTAACTGCACATCGCCTACTAGTTAAACAGAGTCAAAGAAGTCTACATTTCTGAATGCCCAGGTGCATAAGATATCCAGTGATTGATCAAACGAATCCGTATCCCGAAAGTACCATGTGCGTAGTTGTCTGCGTGGCCAGAACTATCCAAGCAGGTTCGATCCAGACATAATATTATCCAAAACCAGGGGAAATACATCCCAAGAGGGTGAGGCGATCTACACTGAACATCGGTCAGGCTCAATGCGAGGATTGAGTAGACGAACGAGATGAGATGGCCAGCAGCACGACATACGACACCACGACACGCGGGTTTTCGTACGCTATGTATGATCCATATTCAAGAGACTACATATCGAAAGGCGGAGTACGATAGGGATCCTGAGATGGGAATGTCTGTGTTCATGTCTCGTGTGGGGGAAGATTCTATTTGCCCCCAGAAGTCTTGAATAAAACAAGGCCAGCCAGAGCGATGGAGTAACCTGCAGTGAAGGACAGTGAGGAGCATGTTGGAATAGAGAAATCTGCGCCTGTGCTTACCGACAACTTGTAGTGGCGTAATAGGCGCGCCGAAGGCAAGGACCGAACCTGTGATGAGCAGGATGTCCTTAAACACGCCGGCGAGGGTAAGTACAAGCCCACTGCCAGCGCCGACCAAGAACACCGCAGCAACGTTAAGAAGGAATGCCACACATGCATTACTGAGCAGAATGAGTGGGCTGGTGACAATTATCAATAGGCGAAAGCATCATAATAGTGGAAGTTAACGCACCCCGCACGCATTATCTCGTGGAAGGGCGCAAGACCTTCTGTGAAGGGAATTACAGCGAGATTGATCAGGGCACAGACCGGTGCATAGTAGTGCAGCGAGACGAGTGGATCCATTTTGAGACCGTGCAACAGAATTTGAATCATAACCAGTCGAGATGCTTCAAACTACCCAATTTCCGGTACTCTTCAGCACATTATGTTCTTAGTAGAAAAATTAAAACGTACCCCAACAGCTGCCGCCTGTGTGAGGAATCCAACCATATTGAAATGCAATTCGCCATGGGAAGTGAGGGCGACACCGCATGAAATCATCATCACAATCAATGCCAACCTTTTGTTAGGATCTTGAATCCGGAACGTCCATGAGATGAGCAGAATTGCTACTGGAGTGAAAGCCTGTGAAGGTATGTAAATGTTCCAATCATCGATCTTCATGCAACGAAATAACAAACCTTCAGCATCTGAATGTAAGCAACACTGAGGTAGAGATACGCTGTGTTGCTGAGAATAAGGGATGCGCTGAACAGGAAGCCGATAGGGAGGATCGAGCGGGCAAACATCTCCTTAGACATGTGGATGTCCTTTGCGCCGTCAAGTAAGTGGGTCGTCCGTTGTAGTACACGCGTTCCAATTGCCTATGGATCAACATATTAGCAGTCGACCACACAGCGTAGATTCAGTAATCATTCTGTCCACAATACAAGCGATAAAATACTGGCCCCGGGATTATCCTCGTCCACTAAACCAGGAATCACGGATAATCGATGACTAGTTCCTACACCGCATTCACGGAAGCTCAAAGGAAGAGATAATTTGAAATCTCGGTACATGATGCCAGCGTTCCATTCAAGAGGGAGAAGATTAAGGCTTGGAAGCGCAAGTCGCATCAGCAGTCTGAAACGGCTAAGATGGTGACAGATAATGTCCCCGGTTCTGCTATCAGCTTTATGGCAGATGGGCTGTGATCATAGAGTACAGCCTCATAACAGCCAGACCCATTCTAATATCACACAAGCTTTCCACACAGTGCGAACACTCGACGACGGGAGGCTCGGTATGCTAGGGGTGTCTACCAAGAACCACTCACCGCGAATGTCAGATGCCATGTCACCAGGAAGACTGGGAAGCGGAACTCTAGTGTGTTGTACACATAGTTATTGTAAATAATCACGGAAGAACTGAGCACGATCCAGATAGGGATGATGGTTGCTGCGGAGAGCTTCGCCTTGGGTCGGGGAAGGGACGCAGTAGCTGGCGAGGGAAGAGGCTCATCTGAGGTTTTCTCTTCGTGGACTTCAAGCATCTGAGAATCCTTGTCGCTCGCGCTAGCAGTGGATTTGTCGTAATCTGTACTAGACATGACTGGATGGTGTGGGCGCTGTGCAAACGTCTAAGGTGGAGGTTGTATGGGCGATAGTGTTGCTAGGATTGATCTGGGCGAGGGATGCGTGCTGAAAACGAGAGACAAGGGTGGGACAGGGCACTAGCTGCTAGGCAGGCGAGGGCGCAGATAGGGAAGATGGACGTGGGCGCGTGCGAGCTCAGCCGACTTATGTTTTCCCATGTTTTCTCCATCGCAATCACGTGTCGTCCGTCTTGGCATGCTCAGCCCTCCTGTGATCCAATCCGCCTTCGCGTCTGGCTTTGTCGCGCACCATATCGCGACATGCTTCATACATGTAGACTCTCAGAAAGCCCATCGACCACAGCTATTGCGAGCTTTCGCAATGTTACCACAAATTAATGTTTCAGGGATGGTGAGTGTCCGAGTCTTCCTAGTGGATTCGGGCCAAGCTGTCATGCATGGATGCTGTCGTCATTCTTCGGTCCTCATGTAGGGTCTTCTCTCCGAAAAGCCCTGCGCCTAACACGGATATTGAGTGTGATATTCTTGGGACTTGAATAAGGAGTCTATCGCCCGGCTGAAAGCATGGGTCATCCTTCAAGGTATATCCTTATCTGAATGACGTTGATGCGGTCATTCGAATGCAATGAGATTGTCTGGATGATCTTACTAGCTTTTACTCTGCTTAAATAAAAGTCAGTATGCAGTCAGTAAGCAAAAGTATGGTTTTGTTGATGCATGAACACTGTCTCATTCAAGCTGCAGCAATCAATCTCTGCCATCATTTAAGTAGATATATCTACTCTTCCCAGATGTGGTGTTAAACACTTGCCTTTCCCATAGTCAAGTCTGGCTCTCTTGGCTGGAATATATCAAAAGTCGAGTTAAGCTTGAGTTCAATCATCATCCTTGTGGTATCGGGCCCTGCCGGTGGGCAAGCGCCGAATGTCGGATTCCACTCGAGCCCGTGACGTCAATCCCATCCTAACTTGATTTGCCATGCCATCCCGCATCGCGCAGCACGAACATATAAGTCAGCCTCCTGTTTGGCAGCCATGCCGAAGCCGCGAGGCTCCTACCCACAACCATGATCATCGAGGAAGACAGCCCACTCGCTACTCTCCCAAATGGCTACGATAAGACTGAGCCTAACGGCGTCGACGAGAATACACCACACGAGTCTCATGAATCTTTAGGAGAGGAGCCCGCTGTTGACCCAGACAGTCTACCTCCTGCACACAATCCGACTGTCGCGTTTCTGATTCCCTTCCCTCAAGCCCTTCGTCCGCCGTCGAAGAAGAATAAAAAGGTGCCTCCATTCATGATGTATGCGCCTCTCGCTGCCCCTTTGCCTCCGAAGGCTGAGGGTGAGAAAGAGGGCATTACCACAAAGGCGGCACGAAGGTGGCAGAAGGAAGAAAAAGAGGCTCGAGAGAAAGGTACAGGATTTAAGGTTTGCATGTCTCTTTGTATCACGACAGCAACTGCTGACCCGTTTCGAGTAGGCTAAAGCAGTAAAGGTGAGCCGAATGGTATCTTATGTTATGATTCCTCGCTCATCATTTGTAGCTCATATCTAAAGGTATGTCTGCGACGAAGAATAGCCGCATAGAATTTCTTGTGCGAACACCAAATAAGAAGAAACTCAAGGAGGTTGGTCTCGGACATGATATATGAAGTCATGACTGATTCCGGCTCATCCGCAGCTGCGCTTTGTCTATCCCGCATCATGGCCTGCGGACAATGTCCAGCAAGAGTTTACTGAACAAGTTAAATCTGCCAAGAAGGGTGCAATCATGAATGGCGTGATCGCAACGAGTCTAGCGCCGTTTGCGCTCGCTTTCGATACTCTTACTTTCATTCCCGGTGTACGTACCTCTTTCTCCATTCCGATTTTTCGTCATTAACGAATTGCGTGCAGCCGTTCGAGATAACGGCCGTATGGTCTGCATCTTCCTGGACCGGTGCCGCTCGCGCGTCGGGGATTGCGAAGCGTATAACCTCCTCCGAATTGCCTATCTCCTTTTCACCAGATCCTCAACTTGAATTCCTTCGCTATCGATTGCACCAGCTCTGTTGGGAGGTCGCAAAGCGTGGTACGGTCAACACGGCCACCTGGAATGATACACAGACCATAAAGCGTGGTCCGGAGCTTGCATCAGTGGTGCTCGAAGTTGTCCGCGAGTTCGGGGAGGACATGAACGACCTGGAGATGAATAAGTCGCTCATTGCGAAAGATCTGGATCGATGCATGCGGAAGGCGGCAAAGGAGTGGGCCAAGGCCGCAACTTAGGCTGCGAAGTGGAGGGGTTGGAACGGAAGTATGTTGAACCGGTCATTTTTGCTGTGTCGCGCAACGCGCACCATTACCATATGTAATATTAAATGGATCCACTAGCACTGATGATGGGTGAGTTTTCTGCGGCTTGCATGGCGTGTGCCGCCGACGTAAACAATAGCCGAGTCATTGTGCGAGACTAGCCATGCTCGAAACGTTTAGCAGCTGACGGCGGGATTCAATGATTGTCTGGTGTGTTCAGTTCCACTTCTGTATTGAAGGGAAACATTTACTACATTCCGTAGTCACACAGCTATACTTGGCGGGAATGATAAACGACTCATTGACATTGTTGCTTCCTCCTTAGAGAAAATAATCACCATCCAGAATGATCTGGAATGCCGGCTTTTTGACAGATCAATTTTTGAGTTAGTAGGAGAACAGGTGAGTCGATCCTTTGGCAGATCGTTGACATGAAGTCAGAATACACTTGAGGAACGTGGGTACGAGCGGGACGCGGTTTATCACTATAAACGCCCGCTTCCGTTCTCATAAGCGGTGCTAGCTATGACCTAATGATGTTGCTGGACCAGATTTGCCTTGTAACTATGGGCTTCGGGCTCAAGAAGCTCCGGTCGTCTTTATGTGGCGATGATGCGAACCGCATCATCGGCGCCCCAGCGCTGGAATTTGCGCTCAAGCCGAAAAGCTGACGTACTATGCATTCATACGGGTTTGGAAGGTGGCCAGTAAGGCCTCCAGCGTGATGCCCGCCGCCAAGGGCAGTGCAGAGCAGGCTACAATACTACGGCCGATACTACGGCCGGTGCGTGTGTTTCGAGACTGTGTTGCAATGCATTCGGTATGCTTGGCTGTATTCCTTTTATATAGGCTGCGGCTCTAAGCAGACCACTGACATCCCTGTATCAGAGAATTCCCAAGAGTCCCTGCCTGATCATGTTAAACGGCGGAATTGAGAGCTTAACAATGTGAGTGTATTTGCGTGATTTATGCTAGTTCAAGCTTTTGATCATGCGAGGGGTGCAGAACGTTCGGCAGTGGCGCGATATACACAGCAGCGGGTGCGTCTCCTAGCCATCCAGCTTAAGCAGGATTTTGATACCAATTATGATGCAGTAGTACTTGTCTACGACTACGTCCTGACCCTCAGAAGCGAAATTCGGTACATTTGGAAGGCTCGTCTGTCATTCGTGGATGCGCTATTCCTCGCTATTCGATATAGTGCATTTTCTGGAGCAGCATTTGCGCTTCTTACAACGGCGCCATTTGAGACATGGGAGGCGCGGATGGTGAGAAGCTGTAGTCCGCCGTCTGGTTTAATGTCTTGACGGATTTATCTTCACAGAGGTTGGGGATCTATAACCTTCTGCAACGTTACCCTCCGAATGACAAAATTCCTGCAGTTGTATCGCGCTCGAACGTGGGCAGGTTATTCGAGGCCAGATCGAGATGGCTAGTTGCGCCTGTATGTTGCATCTCATCAGTTGCTGATCACCTCAGCTTTCTTTCTGACGGCTGCTCGGGGACAAGTGTTTACTGCTGTACGCGTCTTTGCAATCTTCGATCACGCTTGGTGGCTCTTCGTGTTCGTCGCCGGCATTGGGATGGCGACCCCCGTCATTACTGGAGTGAGAGGTTTACTTAGCGAGGAGTTGAACACAATCAACTAATACCTATTACACCGTCATCTTCTTATTCGCGTCGTCTAGTACGTTTTCTTCGAGTTCATCCTCATCGAGCCTCTGTATGTCACCCCGGGTGCCACGACCTGTAATGGGAGTTACACGATTAGGTAGGTTGTTGTGATGGTATTTGGGCTGATCTCGTACTTAGTTCATTCTAGCAGTTCGCAATTTGAGTGGTCACAGTACGTCGTGAACTTATCAAGAAGATGGATATATTGAAATGGTTTGGCGGCCATAGCAAACAGCACGAATTGGCACAGTACGTTTTGATTTAGATATCTAATTCATAATCGTTCTGATACTTGCCACTGTAGACGACAAGCTTATTGTAGGCTCTAATGCTCGTGCTACAATCGAAGGCACCGTGATATTTGATTTACAGGGCTTATGGCGGCAAGAGCGTCCTCTCTATTGGCAGATGGAATTGTCCTAGCTCTCACCTGGATGAAGCTGTATCGAAATCACATGTTGCCGGATGTTACAAGACCGCATATCTCGACGATCTTACTCAAAGACAGTACGTGATTTCTTGTTCACGTGTAGATAAGATGCTGATCATGGATTCAGCGGGTATTTTCTTTGGGTGCGCGCTACGCATACTTCATAAACTATGTTGGCTGACCATCTGTGACTGAACTGTAGACTCATGTCTATCGTGAACACGCTTGGGCTGTGTGTAGGGAACGTTCTCATCGTGAGTGTGTCTGTTGTTTATGTGACATCGCCTTAGCATCGACCTAGTATGGCGCGATGGCATCTCTCTGGGCTTCCTCGTAAGTCATTGATATACTGCATGAGCTCGGTTTCACACTCAATGCTTTTACGATAGTCTAACATCGATTCTTTCGTGTCGACTCTTGCTGAGTCTGCGAGAGACTTCCGACCCTTCTGGGAATACAGAAGATTCTTTATCGAGGGTCTTGGAGCAGGCTCTGTTCGGTATAGACCAAGGTATGTCAGTCACAAAAATACATCTGCCCGTGGTAGAGGCTGACATTCGTCTCGAGACCATGGGCAGTCCCAAGTTCTTGAGCTGGACGTAGTAGAAGTGCCAGTTCAATCGCCACCTCCGAATGGCGACGCATGAGTACTTAGTTTGTAAGCTATAGTGCAAGCATTCATATGGGGACTTCACGGCATTCACGTCCTTATATTTACAGACTTAATCGTGACCACTGTTCAACGGTGGGTATTTTTTTTAAAAAAATTCTTTGTTAAAGTTGGACTCGACGTTGTGTCGCATTCTATTTGAATTGGTGTTGTAGCGTATTTGTAAAGTGCATCAATAACCTAATCTCTCAATTAGTCGATGGTATTTTTTATCTAAGAAGACGATCCGCATACTCTAATGCTCAGAGCTCCAAAGAAAGGTACATGGCGACACTTCCGCGTCGGGTTGGGTTCTGTTGCGAAAGAAATGATGATCACGTGGGAGCTCGACTATGGTGCCATGCCTTCATCCCGACGATCGTTTCCATAACCGAGATATTTACACAGCTGAGTGCGGAGAATCTCGCCAATCTATGTACTGCCACCGCCACCCGCGCTTTGAGCGGACGATGCAGTATTTTTGCGACCGGTAGGGGGCGGACCGCTCGGGGAGAGACCACGGGGCTGACATGTGAGTTGGCGGGACTGCTCCCAGCGCGACCCAGGAACGCGACGGGGATTGCGGGGAAGGCGGTGTGGGGTCCGATCAGGGACAGCCGAGGACAGGCGAGCGAGGCGGACGGGTTTGGATCCAATTTGGGGTGCGCTCGTCTTTCTCTCGAGCGACTTCAACCCGTTCTTTCCTTCTCAATTCGACTTAGCGCACTGGGTCGCGTCGGGCACATGGCCCACGTGACGGCGACGCGTTGTGCCCGGGCCGCCGTCGAGCAGCCACCGAGCTTCGCTTAGCCCCATGTCTTCTGACTCTCTCAAGCTTGTCTTCCTCCAGCTCCCACTACGCTCTCAGCGGCTAAGCTCACCCCGGTGCTGCCGTCATGTCCGTTCTCGTGATGACATCCTCCCGAGCACATATAATGGCTCGCCTATGCCCCGACGAGCCCAAGCCCGGAGACATCGACTTCCAAGATCCCCGGAATTCGTGTTCATCTCCTCACTATGCGCTCGTCACTGCTTATTACACTCGCTGGTCTTGCATCCTCTGCCTTTGGCTGGGAAAGAATTTGCCGTGTTAAGCCTCTCGGCGGCGGCCTCGACGATGGCCCTAATATCAACCGCGCCTTCAAGGACTGCAGTGACACCGCAGCCATCATCCTCGACGGCTTCTACAGCGTGAACACGCTGCTCGTGGCGGAAGGATTGTCTAACGTAGACATCGTCCTCAGCGGATACCGTGAGTCCCCAGTTGTCTTGTCATTATCCCTTTGGCTAACTTCCTCCGTGCAAAGTCCAATACACGCCCAACATCGCGTACTGGTCCCCTAACAGCCTTTACCTTACCTACCAGAATGCGTATGGTACACTCTTGTTCTGTCCCTGTTTCCTCATTGATTTGCATGCATAGCACTACGTTCTGGTTCCTCTCTGGTGACTATATCCATCTTTACGGTGGCGGAACGATCGATGGTAACGGTCAGGTATGGTGGGACACTTTCAATATCAGTCAGGTCAGTCTCTTGTAGACTTTGCTTATTTAAAGACCCGTGTTGACTAGACGTACGTCTGTTCAGAACGCTGGAACAGCGGGCGGCTCGTCCACCACTTTTGCACGTCCCGTACCCTTGACTGTGGGCAATGCGTCAAATGTTCTCGTGGAAGATATCACCGAGCTTCACTCTCCCTTTTGGGTGCGTTCTCATTGCTTACTATAGTGGGCTACTATTAAACCAAGCCTGGTCTTGCTAGAACAACTTTGTGTATCAGAGCACAAACGTGACGTACAGGAATATCAAGTCCGTAGCTTCCACCCCTCAGACATAGATGCGCTCGACGCTAACGGGGATTTTTCAATTGCAGCATCAGCTCAGTCTCGTACTCCAGCGCACCTGCTGTCAACTCTGGTGTGTGCTCATTATAAATACACACCCATCATGCTCTCACATGTAAATATTAGATGGCTGGGATATTTATCGCTCATCTTTCGTGACCATTGAGGATTCCACAGTCAACAACGACGACGATTGTGTCTGTGCGTATCACTTTTTTAAAAAGTTTTATGTAATTGAATACAAACACTCATATCCCGGGTCATCACAGCATTCAAGCCAAATAGCACCAACATTAATGTCTTAAATATGTGGTGCAATGGCTCACACGGTATCTCTGTTGGCAGTCTTGGACAGGTTGGTTCTTTGCTGAGATCTCAATACCTTATTTATATCGGACAAAATTCATAGTACGCCGTCGAGACCGATATTGTTGCGAATGTTTACGTGCGCAACGTAACGATGCGCTATGCACAGAACGGTGCCCGCATCAAAGTCTTCCCTGGCAGTCCTGACCCCAGTGAGCTGATTCGTAATTTTTGCCGGAATGTCTCTAATAAGGGGTCTTCGCTCCAGACAGCACTGCTGGCGGGGGATCCGGATACGTGAAAAATATCACCTTCCAAGATTTCACCGGTAAGAGATTATTGTGCTCGATCTGCGCTACATCTTAACGGATATGCGCATGAATCTTTAGTGTTCGAGGTCGACAACCCTGTCTTGATCGATCAGGTACGCATTCGTGACTTGTAACTGTTCTTACAAGCCCACTCATGTCGTATGTGTGTGTAGTGTTACGACTCGACTCAAGACTTTTGCAATCAGTATCCAAGCAACCTGACAATCTCTGATGTTCATTGTATGTCACTGACCACTGGTCATTCATGAGGCAGTCGGAGTGCATAGCTAACCGTTTGCACAGACATCAATGTCACTGGCACGTCATCCGGGGCGGAAGGTAGCGTCGTCGTCGACCTGGACTGCTCCGCAGAATGCCAGGACATAACTGCGACGGGCACCCATTTAAGTGCGCCGAACGGCACCGCGACGTACATCTGTGAGAACGTCGCGACCGTCTCCGAGGTACGTGCCTCGCCATCTTCTGTAGTGTTCCCTTTACCGACTCCGCCCCGTGCAGCTCGATTTCAACTGCACGAGCTCCTCAACAAGCTGAGCGTTTGTTTGAACATGCACGAGTGAACGCGGCAGCGAGAGCGGTCGTTGAGATTTCAGCCTCGTGGACACAGCACAAAAGGTGTACGTGCTGATGGCCTTCCGAAATTGGACAGTATAAGTATTGGTACGCCCTACGGTAATCTTATGTGTAATCAAGCAATCGCGCTCGTAAAGGCTGCTTTGGATGACTAGCTGATTATGGTATGCACCGTTGTCGAGCGCCTCGAAGTTGTAAGAGTGGCCGCCCATCGGAGCATCGGATGAGAATAGGAAGGTGCTCTAAGTAAAGCTCTTTATCATGCCCTATCCGACGGCGGCGACCTTGCGGCAACCACGATGCTACCCTCAATGGAATAATCCGAGCACGAGGATCCGTTTGAATCCCCGTTGGAGCCCTAAATTGGTTCGAACACAGTAGGTTCCCCGGAGAGTCCAAGTTGCTGTACATACACTCACTTCAAGTCAATCGAAATGCAGCAATGGATTGGTGCTATGGTTGACGAAAATTTGCAAATAAGCTCTGAAGACTGCCAGTGCGACGATCTCATGCATGTGGCGCGCCAACCAGCTGCTAGTGGCGCCACTGTCTGTGGTTCAGTGCATTTTATAGAGTGCCTGGATGCCTAAAGGCTAGTCTGTCTCACCCATGTGAGAACGATGATTATGTCCCTCTTGCCTTGGCGATTTCCCTCCAATTTGTGGAACTCTCGCCACTCGGCTTGTTCTCCATCTTACGTACCATGTTATTCTCAGAACCCACATCACACTGCGCTCGAAAAATAAAATACAAACACATCGGTAGTACGTAACTGCGCTAATCGTCACAACAATCTACAAACTTACGGATGACTGATAGCTCTGCAAACCAGAAGTATCGCTATATATGTTCGAAAAGAAAATCATCTCCATAATTCACGTTTCTGGCACGAGATCACTTGAACCCAGTGATATAAGCTCTTCTCCACCGATGGGCCAAAACGCCTCCTCGAGCTCCACGACGCGCGCCCAAATCTGCTCCGCTCGGAGCCATGCCGAAGAGCCGGGTTGGATCTCAAGGCTGTGACACAAAAGATAGGGTGGGACGGAGCAAGGCGCAAAATGCTGAGCATTTTTCCCCTGCTGAATGTGAGTTACAGACCTACCTGTTCACAATATCGGCGAGGTCGTCGACGAACGCGACAAATTCAGGGTTTGTCCAGTTTGAAACAAGTTCAGCGATCGCAGGCGCAGTAGATTGCTCGGATTCACTTGTGCAAATGGGCTTCAGCGAGCCAACATACCGCCATGCGTCGAGATACACCTGAATAGGATTGAAATCGGCATAAAGCGCATGCGGGTGACTGCGAAATGAACTCACCCTCTCCATCGCCCACAGGAAAACTAGCCCATCTTCTAACCTTGCCTCCGCGCCCACACGTGCCATCTCTGCAGTGTAGTCCCGTGTAGCCTTACGTTCTTTCCAACCTTTCAACTGCAGATTCCAGGTTTTCGCGGTCTCGCCAAAGAAGTTGACTTCGCGCACGACGTTCTGCACCGCTCCGCAGAGCATCTGCACGATACGCTGATTGCGCCGCTCCGCTTCAGAATCCAGATCATCGAGCGACGAAAATGGGATGACTGCGAGAAGGCGACCAATAAACGCTGGGTAGGCGTGCGCAGCGTAGATGCGATCTTGGGAGAGGTAGAGGGAGAGGAGGGCGGGAGGGAGTGTCCCAAGGCCGGCGGCGGTGAGGAAGGGATGCTCTACGGCAGCAGAATACGGACGAGGGGTTGATAGAGAGACGAGATGGGTGGTGAGACTCTCGATGGCCGACATTTTAGGAGGAAGGGGGATGTGCGCGATGATGTCATCTAGATATGGGTGTCTGTTTGGCTTTGTTAGGATCCAAGGCCAATGGCTTTGACGCCCATCGGCACCACAACCCATTCAGGAATGTCATAGATCATATACATATAGACAATAAACCATGAAAATCCAATCACTACACTATACTCAGCGCACTCCTCCGACCCGGGCCCAGTACATCTCTTCCCGCAGCCTCATCAGCTCCTTCCACGTCCTCTCTTCCCACATCGTATCACCGACATATATTCGGCTATCCTCCTCGACGGAAGACTCCACCGCGTCTGCTTCGGCAGCCAAAGGGTCTTTCACAAGTCCCTCTGCCTCAAGAACTTCGGGCTGTGTCTTGACGGGTTGGCCTTCCACGCCATCTACAACTCCGTTTATTGACGAAGCAACGGGCGAGGACGCCGACATTTCCTCTTCGCGAGGCACCTCGGCATTACCATCGTCCTCGTGTTTATCTAGTTGTTCATCCGCTGGATTGTCAACTGCGGTATCCAATGGTGGCCCATCCGCATGCGGTGCATCTGCAGGTACAGTCTTGTCGACTTGCTGATTTTCTGAAGGTTCCTCGGAGGATTGCATGGCGTCAGCTGGAGCGTCCCCGTTATCTTCTTCCGCAGCAAGGGGCTGAGCTTCTGTTGTCGCGAGGGAATGGGCAGCCAGCTCATTGGTACTATCCGTGATTGGCGGGATGGCTTCGGTAGAAAACACAGGCTCGGCTGATGGATCAGACTCAGACGGAAGAATCGTTTCGACAGTAACTTCGGGGGTGGTACGGCTAGTATCGTCCACGCTATCATTGAGAGCTACTGTGTCACTCTGCTTTCCGCTTTGGTCAGGTACAATCTCCGCGTTTTCAGTGGGAGTAGACTCCGCAGGGGGAGGTATGATAACAGACACAGGTCGGAGACGAGCAGCTGCGCGACGGGGAAGGGGCGGAGGGGCAGGGGATGCAGTACGCGATGATTTCTCGCTGTCGTTCACCTGATTTGCCACAGGGGCCAGGGCAGTAGGAAGGAAGGAAGCTTCGGCAGCGGTAGCATCCTGAGGGAGATCTTGTGGGTGACCAGTATTAGGTTCGGATTCTGGATGTGGTTCGGGCGTTGGCGGGGACGATGGTGGAAGAGGAATAGTAGTCGGCGAAACAGATCGTGCCCCAATTAGAGATCTCGGCTCTTCAGAGGGTGTGGCGAAGTCGTCTCCTGAAGTTTCTTGGGAAGTAACGCGAGACAACGAAGGCGGTTCCGCCTTCTCGTCAGGCTCTGGTGTCGATGCGATCTTAGTGTTTGTATCTCTGCCTCTATTGCGCTTGGGCAAGGGTGGTGGGACGGACGACAGTGCCGTAGGGGTCTTGGTCGCAGGTGGTGCTGATAGCGAAGGGTGTATAGGTGGGGGTACAGGAAATCTCTTTGGCGAAGCTGGCAAAAGCTTCTCCGGCTTTTTCTCGTTCTCCTTCGGCTGCGTAATCTCAGACTCAAGCTCTTTCCCTCCACTGCTGAGACTGCGCTGTACCGTACCCCAGAGCGCCCCGATACCCATTCTCGTCCTGCGAGGAGGGACAGGGGGCTTCTTGTCCGCATCCGTTATGCCGTTGAGCCCATCGTGCTTCTCGACGCCATTTACACCGGTAACACTATTCATAGGCGAATGACGTGAGGGAGGAACGTACGGAGTCTCCTCCCAAATCTTCTCAACGATTCCAGTGCGCACAAATGCCCACATCGAACATGTCGTACGAAGACGGGCCAAGCACCACATGGTGGTGCATAATGGGTATATTGTGGGACGATTTTGTGCGGTATTTTGCTGCGAGGTAATCGGCAGGGACACTGGAAGACCGGACGAGGTTGCAGCAACGCGGAAAATATAGACCTGGGTCGGCGGCTCGGTAGGTGCAGATGGCATCGGAGATTGGCTCTTTGCACCTTGGTTCGCGGCAGACATGGACTGCACGCTACGCAACAGCGAGGAAGACCACGAATTATTGAGATTCTGTCGGTTTGGTAGGGGAGAAGGTGGGAAGTTGGATACCGTAGGAGAATCAGTAGTCGTAGGCGAAAATATTGTTGTTCCACAGAGAGCACAGGACACCTGGATATTGTGAGCATGACCGGGTATCGTAGACGGCGCCAATTCTTCCAGTAGCGTGACGGTATGCATAGGCTCGACCGTTAGCTGACCGCTATGGATAGCAGAAATGACCGATCTTCTTGTGAGCCAGTTGAGTGAAGGTGCGAGATCAAGCCTGACAGTAGGATCGCTGCAAGAAGTGCAGTATCAGTGAGCATATCCAGCGAGCACAGTCCAGCACGCACGAGTCTTCGGTGATCAGTCGCGCCAGGAAGGGAAGGGGCAAAAGCGTGGACATCGCGGGCGGTTGAGGACTCGCCGGACGGATCGTCCGGAGGTGTGAGAGGAATGCGATGAATTCCTGATACGGGGGATGTATGTTCAGTAAGCGTGGTCGCCCTTGTTCCGGGTCTTGCGGTCGGTCCACCCACTTGCCCTTGCCCATTCGAAGGCGCATTTCGTCAACCTCCTGATCTGCATGCTCTTTCTCTGCCTGCAGTGCTTGCATCTGCCCCTGTAGAATGCCTACAACTTCCTCCGCCTCTCGCAGCGCACGCTCTGTCTCTTCAGCTTTACGTTCGCTCCTCGCCTTCCCTATACGTGCCTCCGCGACCATGCTATTTGCCTGATTGAATAGACTCGCGCTGAGGTCGTCCAAATCCTTCTCGATCTGAGCCCGCGCAGTCTCTGCCTGTCCGCGCTGGGCAGCCTCCTCGGTCGCCTTCTCCATGAGACGCGTGAGTTCGGTCGTGACATGGTCCTTTTCTACCAGCAAACCCGTGCTAAGTGCAGAAAGATGCTGCGACCGCTCCAGCTCTAGTTCGGATATCCTGAGCGTCGACTGGCGCAGGTTGGCCGACGAAACGTGCAGCTCGTCCTCGAGATCCGACACGCGATCATACGAGCCGACCAATTTGTTGTTTAGCTGGGACACCTGCGAGAAGAGGTCCTGGATCTGGGAGCGCAGCGACGCAATGACCATGGCTTGCGCGTCTGGGTCGCTGTTATGCCGCTGCAGCTTGGCATCGGCACCGTTGGTCCCTGAGGGCACCACATGAGCTTTTTCCTCTAGGTAGTCGGCTTCGAAGTTTAGCTCGTGCATCTCGGTGTCGACCGACCGCGTCCGGGAATGCGACACCTCTGTCATAGCAATGCACCAGCGTTAGTCTGTGCTGTCACGACACCTGCGCGTTTGCAGGTTATGCGGAAAGTTAGAACTGGGTTAGAATGGCGCACTGACGAGTATGGAAAGGGAAATTATTGTCTTGGGCCAGCCGTGCTTGTCCTTGGCGGAATCAGGGGCTAATATTGTTGCAACTCTGTGTTGATCAGAGATTATCGTGAGCCCTCTGTATACTGCCAAGTCTAGGGACAGTGTAAACACCAGATAGAAACGAAGACCTGTGGGAGCAGCTTGAGCGTTGTGGCAAGAAATGCGAATATGGTCGATAGGATAGCAGAAGTTCGGCGTCGGTTCGGTGGCTTCCGAACGGTCCTCGCGCCGGAAAATGTCCTTTATCTGTACCTGGAAATCGAGACTCTTCAAGTTGTTCAGAAATACAACTTGAAAGCCCCGGCCGTGATGACATTATTATTCCCAGTATTGTCTGACAATTTTGTCATAGCCAATTACTCGGGCATTGCCAAACCAAATCTCACTCTGCCGTACTGCCAGCGTATTTACTCCCGGGACCGGAGACCACTCACCCCAGGTGGGTGGTGTGCTATTTCGTCTATGGTAATGTACATGCACTGATGAACGACAATGAAAATGTTTACTAAAGCCAGCGCGCAGAAGGTAGGTACTCTACTGTCCGTTCGAGAGTGCTATCAAGGTCCGATGTGTCCAACACGAAAGTACTAGTGCAATTCACCCTTTTGAGTTTGTCACTGACAATTTACTCGGTGGTGACCGACTTCGCCCTGAAATCGTAGATGCGTTAATATAACATCAACAATTAAGATTCACAGCGACTCACAGGTTCCTCGGGAAGTCGACATCAAATCCGTTCTTGACAGCCAAATGATAACTCAAGAGCTGCAAAGGAATGATGTTCAGAATGCCTTGCAGACAGTCGACTGTCTTTGGTACACGGATCGTCTTGACACCCTTAGGGATGTCTGCATCATTCTCATTGCAGATTACAATTGGCTGCGCTTTGCGGGCGGTGATTTGTGCAAACGCCGATTGAACCTTAGGGTACAACGAGTCCTGAGTCATGACGATGATCACTGGCATGTTCTCGTCGATCAACGCGAGGGGACCGTGCTTGAGTTCTCCAGCGAGGATACCCTCCGAGTGCATATACGAGATTTCTTTGATCTTGAGCGCACCCTCTAAGCAGGTGGCATACCTGGCAGATCACCCATCAGTACATGGTACATCTGTATGTAGGGAAGAATACTCACTGGTAACCCCTACCCATCAGAAGCAAACTGCGCTGGTTCGCAAGGACACCAGTGGCAAACTCCTGCAAGCTCTTGTCGCCCTCAAGCACATTCCTGATCTGGCTTGGTAGCGCATGCAGGCCCTCGATGATCATAGTTCTCCGCTCTGCGAATGAAATGCGGTCCTCAGACAACTGAAGCGCCATCATCAAGAGTGCGATGTACTGAGAAGTGTATGCCTACAAGGAGTGTCAGTAACGATTCTCGAGAGCAATTAAGTTCAGAAACTAACCTTAGTAGATGCAACACCGATTTCGGGACCGGCATTGATGTGGACACCACAATGAGTCTCACGCGAGATGGTCGAGCCGACGACGTTAACAACACCCACGCAAAGCGCTCCACGCTCCAGGCAGTACCGTAAAGCAAGGATAGTATCTGCAGTCTCCCCACTCTGGCTCACGAAGACGCAAACATCGTCACGGAAGATCGGCGTCTTCCTGTCCAAAAAGTCCGACGCAAGCTCAACGCTGACCGGAATCTCGGTGAGCTCCTCGAAGATCGCACGCGTAGCGATACACGAGTGATAACTTGTTCCACACGCGCAGAACACGATGCGACGTCCACGGCGGATAATCGGGAGGTAGGCACGGAGACCACCGAGAGTAATCTGATTCCGGTCGAAGTTAACGCGACCACGCATCGTGTTGACGACGGACTCGGGCTGCTCGTAAATCTCCTTCTGCATGAAATGGTCGAACTTGCCCTTCATAATCTCCGCCAGTTCAATCTCGAGAGTCTCGATTGTACGATGCGATGCTGTGGGGGGTGCACCATCCTTGTGTCGCAATCGATGGATATGCAGTTCGCCCTCTGAGATGTGTGCGATATCGTCATCCTCAAGATAGAGGACACGCTTGGTGTGCTCAATGATTGCTGAAGCATCAGATGCAACGAAGAACTCAATTGGCTGCGGCATTCCATCTTCTGACATAAACGCTCGCGATTGCGAACGCATCAGGTTGGGAGGACCACCAGGGCCAGTGGGTGGCGCCAGCAGACCACCAGCCTTCGGGGAAGCCACTGCCACAGCGTTAGCATCGTGAGTGTGCACACAAAAACGAACAAACTCACAAGCATCCATAGTCTCGTCGGGACCCGCCATCTCAACATCAACAAAGTCGACCTTGAGTTTCTTCTCAGTCTTGACACCAATCAAGAGCGGGGAACCACGACGAGCGGTGACGATTTCATTGGGGTAGTGAGATGACTTGAAAACGAACGCAAAAGAACCTTCCAATTCCTTCAACACCGTCTTGACCAATTCAGTGAATGACATGCGCTTGTCGGGCTGAGAGTCGTAAATATACTTCGTCAAAATAGCAACAGCCTCTGTATCCGTGTCACTTTCGAACTTGTATCCCCTCTTCTGAAGCACGAGCCGCAAGGCGCTCGAATTGGTGACTATACCATTGTGTACGACTGTGAACTCGGCCTTGGGGTCCGACTTGAGAGGGTGGCAGTTGACGACGGAAGGGGGTCCATGCGTAGCCCAACGCGTATGGGCAATGGAAACCTGCGACAAGAAAGACTTCGATGTGTTGACGTTGGATTCGGCAATTTTTTTGCGCAACCCGGCGACTTTGCCTACTTCCTTGAAGAAAAACATCTCCCCACGGTTGTCTCCATCAATACCAATGCCGGCGGAGTCGTATCCGCGATACTCTTGCCTCGCAAGGCCATTACAGAGAATCTCGCAGATAGTCTTACGGTCCTGTACAATGGAGAAAAGATAGGATTAGCACAAAATAAAGAATTCCATACATCATAGAAGGGTTACGGAGCATATGTCACTATGACTATCCATCAACCGCCAGGCTTCATAAACATGAGTCATAAACCTCGATAACAATCGCCGGCTGTATGCGATCACCGCATGCATACGCAGAAAACGTCATCAATATCCACCGGCCGTTACGGGGAACGCACATCCCGCAGCAGCTACAGATATGGACGCAGCTCATCCGCATCGGAAATAGTCACATATATGCTAAGTATGAGGGTTGCAATAGAAGGATGCGTAAAGAATGCAGTATCCATGGCTGTATGCGCATGCGGTGTTTGAGAACAGCAATGACAGGACTCCACCAAACGCTATTCAACACGCCATAACAGCTGCTGCATCGAAAGCACAGGCGCATCAAGACCATCGAGCGATACGGCTCGCAATATGATGAGCACATATACCCAGATGCCAGAGCGGCCATCCTATCAACCACAGTGGCTGGTAGACAACGAAGATATCGAGACAAAGTCAGCCTCGGGAGTTCATCACGGCGTGTTAGCCGTGAGCTTCTCCATACGCCTGAACTAGTAACAGAGGACACAAAAGAGAAAACACAAACCTTCTCCTGGAGGAAGCTGCAGTACGCGAAGATGCCACACATGATGAAAGAGCTATAGCCGCGCCAGTATCAGCGGCCTGTAGCGATGCGCAGCATAATAACCTGAGGACCTACTTTGCGAAACGATTGGGGCGGACAGAACGAGGGCAGGAAGTCGAGGAAACAAGTGGAGGTCAAGAAGGTCTTTTAAGCTCGAAGCTCCCGCGGGGTGGCAAGCGTAGATCGGCCACAACACGACCAAACACATGCCTTCACAGCTTCTTTCTGACCAGACACCACTTTTGGCACAGGCACCGCCGGCGCCGGCTCCGCGGGCAGCCCAAACCGCCTGCGCACGTTCCCACTCGTCCAATCTCAGCTTCGCCCTCGACGGAGGCGGTACATAGTCCCTCCGTCCCCGACGGCGCGACGTAGAACAGTTAATGCAACAACATTGAGCGTCGAGCAAGCAGGCTGAATTGCAACTGTAGGGGCAACGTCTCTCGATTCATATCTAGCTGCTGGCCTGAAACCTGACAGTCTCCAGCAACCCGGGCGATGTCTAGACTGGTGTGACGCGGCGGTTCTTGGGAGGGCACAGAAGCCCGCTCCTCGGCTGTACAAATAGGACGCGCTTACCAGCGGATTCCTAGATCCCAGGTGGCCCGGCCAATACAGAACATTCGCTGCAATCTCTCATCACGGCGACTAGTCTCCTCATGTCTTATACGTGGCCAGGTTTCGTTGGTCACCGTACCTTCATATCATACATATCTTTCATTCGCTTCCGCATCATATCACTCATACTCCAAAGCAGCGGGTTTGCCTTGTCACCTCGTTGCTTCCTGCACAGTCTCTGAACCGACGCCCGACATCAGATTCCGGGACTTGCACGCCACCCTCAAGTCGTCGCGAGGGTTTTCCACCAGAACGATCGTCGCCACCCTCATGCAGTAGGACCCGCTGGAATATGACTTGAGCGCGTGAGTCTTGCATAGTTGTGTTCAATTTACTAAGCCCTTTGCGCCTTCACTCGTCATGTCTGCGCTCCCACAAGACAAGCCATATGTTGTTATCGGAAAACCCTTCACTCTTGATTCATCTGAATTGGACTCTATGGACATCGTGGTCTCACCGGGTGACCGGCAACTGTTATAAAGTATGGTCCAATACCGTTTTATAGCCTGCCCACGATGATGGAACGTGGGGCTTCACTATACACAGATTGAAGTTGGCTGGATTTCCGATGGTGGCTTTTCACATGAAAAGATGTAGCTTGTTCGTTTGTGCTGTACCAACTTGCTCATTAGCTCACCTCCATCCACTGAGTCAGGCGTGCGTACTCTCACATCTATTGTCTTTGAATTCACCGGCCATGACAACTCGCTAATTTGTGTACCAAAATCAGCAAGTTGACGATAACGGTTGCAACAAGAGGTTGTGCTCACCCTATTGAAAACGAGAGTTTGATTGACTTCTTGTCAGCTACAGAGTAGAAGGACAAAACTGCAATTCAACAAACACCTTGCATGTCGGATCGAAAGCATGGATACCTGACATTGGTATGAATTCAAACTGACATCGCGAACGTTACCACTGCACCTGCATTATGACCCCGGCCGGTTCACTGAAAATCCACCATTTTCTCATGGCAACACTTTCGTTTTCTGCGAGGTCGCACAGTTTGCCGGCTGAAAATTACAAAGACGAAGGCAGCCACCCGAGCGCGCGATGTTAGATGAATTCATAGACTGAGCTTCTCCCTCAGCTTTCCTCGCTTGAGATAAGGATAATCATTTGAGCAATGAACTTCACTTTGAATACTACCACTTACCTCATGGTGCTCATGGCGTCGCACTAACATATGGAGGATAATTTCTTCCGGAATTTAGAAGAAATTGGCTAACAATTTCTCTCTGACCAGACGGCCCCACGTCAGATTCGCATACTTGTGTTCTGACACAATTTGTGTTGATTCAATCACTGCGGGCATGCGGGCAGTTGATGTGAGGGATGTGAGGTGGCTAAGACTCGATTGCGTAGGCGGAGGAGAGCGCCACATATTGTACATAAAGGCAAACAGTCTGATGTCCATTCTAACCCGTTTGCCTTGGCTATTCTCTCCGACGGCAACAATCATGTCCTCGACAGCGTCGAGCAAAGTTTCGTTCACCATCCGCCGCCCTACGCCCGTCTCGCGCGCATCGTCTGGAAACGACTCTGACTCTTCGTCATTCAAGGTACCTGCTCTACCACGGCATCTCGCGAATGGGAATGGCAGCACTCCTGGTAGCCCCCTCGCGCGCAGTGCCCCTGCCTCACCCTCGCCCACTTCACGCGCGCATGCCGACCGCGATAGCTCTGATGAGGATGAAGGGCTTGACGACGAGCTCGTGACAGGATTTGACCAGTTTGGGGTCCAGCGGTGTGTCTCTTCATTGTTTAACCTTCTCAGGCCGGATTCTCAACTCACAGTAGTCTGGTCTTATAGTCTGCACGAAAAGAAGAAGGAACCAGAAGGTCCTCTCGTCATTCCTGCTCTCAAGAACAAAGATTGGCGCGAAATGGCACGAAAGAGGAAAGCGCTCTATGTTCCTCCGAGCGCTGCTGCACAGACAGGCGCGGACGGGAGCGTCGGCGGACTAGGGACAAGAGACAGCATAAATTCAGGCCCTCAGCTGTCTGGATTGCAGGCCGCAAAAAAGATTAAGCTGGAGGAAGGCGACTCGGTTGAAGTCGAGACTGAGGAACCGGTCGTCACCTTTGATGCTGTAGCAAATGTAGTCCCGAAGAAAGAGGAGGAGACTGAGGATCAGAAGGCTCTTCGAGCTATTCTAGCTAGCGCTTCCGACGACCCCATGAGTCTAGACGGCCCACACATCGATATTATCCCCACACCGAGCGAGGATGACGCTTATCGTCAAGACGTCGTCGAGCTGCCTGACTCAGCTTCTCTCGAAGACTACGAACGCATACCCGTCTCCCAATTTGGTGCCGCGCTCCTTCGCGGCATGGGTTGGAAAGAGGGTACTGCTGCAAGCAAGAGGCACAAAGGTCCTATCGAGCCATACCTGCCTCAGGCGCGCCCAGCGTTGCTGGGCATTGGGGCAAAGGAGAAGGAAGTATTTGACGATGGAAGCTCTCTTGTGAAGGGGAAGAAGAGTAGGAAGAGCAAGCCGGATCGCAGGTATGTACCAGTGGTCAAGAGGGAACGAAAGAGTGGAGATGGCGGGGATAGTGGCTCGGGGGAGCGGAGCAGGGAGAGATCCGGGTCTGCGGTAAGCTCGTCCAAGAGACATTCGCCGTCTCCCGAGAGGTCGCATTCCCGACGACATTCGAGGTCACCATCAGCGGACAGAAGACGTGAACGCGACCGTGATAGATGGAACGACGACAGAGAGGGGAGTAGGGATAGAGATCGCGATAGACAGAGAGATGTTCGTCGGGACTACCATGATTCCTCGTACAAGGATCACGACAGAGACAGCAGGCGGAGGGACGGATCGGATGATAAATATGACTCGGATCGTCGTCGGGAGAGGGATCGCAGGGGTCATTGATTTCTCGCACTGAGAGTTGTACTCCTATCACTAGACATATATCCTTTGTTGTTACTGTGTTTTATTGACCGTCTGGTAATGTTGTGCTTCAGTGATCTCTAGCGAATGCATATATGAGGCACTGGTCTCGTCCCCAGACGTGACTAGTATGGCTGGCTCAGATGCAATTGTCGCCAATCTGAGAATTCGAAGTGAGGCGCCTAGATTTGCATGCACTGTGCGCATGCCACTACCACTACCACCTCCTGCCACTCTATTGTACGTTGTGCTCCAGTGGCTTGGGTTCTCGAATCCCTTTAAGCCCCATTGTTTCAACGAAGGTTCAGTTTATTGCATCCCTTTTCAGCCCATTGATTAGAAGTTATCTGCCTCGCCCATCGCGCTTATTGCTGGTGCAACCCAAACACAAAAGTTAAAACTAGTACCATGCAGATGCGCTCTCTATATCCTCATATGCTGCCGATTGAACTAGTACACCAAGTAAGCCATCCATCAACTGCGTATTTCTGATATCACACTTAAATGCCTGCAGGGTTTGTAGTTTTCGTACACCTCGTAGTAGCACGATCTCACCTATGGATTGTCGCAACACCCAGTCCTCATCTATGCGGCCGGGGAGCGCCAAGTCGGTGCACGGCTGTGCCTCGTCTGTTCAGCTGTCCGCTCTTGGATGCTTCCTGTCTTGTATACAACCGTCGCACTTACGTCGTCCAACCAAATCCTCGCCTTCTCATACTCTCTACAGCACTCTGTCGACTTAGAGATAGGGGAAACGTTGGGTTCGTACGTACGCTATCTCTGGGTGGGCCCTATAAGCTCGATATCCGAGCACGACCTATCGTACGCATCCAGCGCATGGCCGGTGACGATCATTCACCAGATACTGCGGCGGTGCCCCTCGCTCCGTGCGCTGGCCATCGTGAACCTCGCACAGCACCTACTATATCGGCTGGAGGGTATTATCCCGGCCTCTGTGCAGTCCATACACCTCGGTCCGGTCCACGGGCACCTCGATCTGCCGAAGCTGCGATGCGAAAAGCAGCTGCAGACGATCACGAGTATGGACACATACCTGTCGGACTGGGAGGTGCACCAGATCGTCACGGCGCCGCATGTTAAGTGCTTCCGCCGCTTCTACAGCAACCCAGCGCGAATATCATTCGCATTCGACCAGCTGCCGTGTGTGAAGGAGGCGAAGTCGCTGGAGCGGCTGGAGATTCTGTGCTGCGCTGACACCGTGGAGGTCGCTACTCTTGCTTTGCGGGAGCACGCGTCGGAGTACAGCGGCCGTGCCGATGAGCGCATTTGGCTCGTGGCAACCTCGAGTTGCTTCAGTACACGAGCGGATGGTATACGCGCACTCTACCATGATTGGATAAACGAGCTGGGGAAATTAGTCAGTGAAAGCGAAGAGCCGATAAATGTGAGTGTTCAAATGTTTCCGGCTCAACTTTACGCTGACATTGATTCGGCACGTTGGCATATAAGATCGGTGACCGGTCGATGATGCTGGAAACTGTCAGTGCTCCTCTTGAAAAGGTCAGAAATCTTCCATTGCAAGATATTTAAACATGCTAGAATTTCTTGATATTTGCAACAAATTACTTTCGGGTAGGGCGCATACACCCAAATTCCAATTTGTGCGGCAGAATATGAATTTTCTCCTTGCGATCTTGCAGTTATTATTCCAACATGTTCGCTCGAGACTAGGATATTTTGTGCACCATGAAGGTTAAATCTTTGGCCAGAAACCTAATTTAGTGGGTCTCCGAATCTCAGGGACACCCACTGACTTGCTGTTTCGAAATACATCTCACTCAATCAGCCTCCTTCCGCTTCCCTGTCTACTTATATCTAGCTTTCGATAGACCGCCGAAGACAAACTGCCGACAGTGTCGCGTACATACAGAGAAAAACCCATAGTGAATGGTTGCCCAAAATTTTAGAACCGTGAACAACCTCTTGTCGTGAAGAGACCTCAAACTCCACCTCTTCTAAGGCATGCTTTGGGCACGCTCCTGCTCCCTCTGCCTCTCCTGCTTGTGGCATACAGCTTGAAATATGTGGTGAATTGCGAACGTCGATCTCAGATTTTCGTTAGCAGCTTACGAGGTCCATCTCACCTGAGCTGACGATAGTGACGTGCGCTGTGGTGGTCATCAACACTGATACTGTAGCTGGCTAGCTTGCGCCCTATCACGGCTTTTGTTCTTCCTTCTCGAACCGTACTCAAGCAATTGTCGTATTTTTCAATTTATTTTAAGACGTTAACCCGAACAACGGATTCCTCCATCAGCTATCTTTCTGGTCACGAATTTCCATACCACGACTCTGCATCGCCCAATTCTAGACCCAAGCCATAATCCTTCCCGACACTTCATTCTCGAGATAGCAACGTATCTTCCGGATATGCTTCGAATTGAAAGCAGCTGTACCTTTACTCGATGTCCACCCTCTCGCGCATGGGACGGAAGACGTCGAACCTCCTGACCGGTGATCGCAACATATCACACATACGTCTACAGCATGTCGTTCTGCTGCATTTGTATGCGATTTGTGGATGACGGGATTGGACTCTGAGCACAACCCAGCTAGTCATGTAGGGACGCGAATACGCATTCAGTGACCTACACTTTGACCGCGACAACGCATTGGTCGTATCGGAATTGTCAGGCTCCCCGATGGACGTCCTCCACCGCTCAACCTTGCCACCGCTAGTTTTCGCCGACTATCTGATGATATCCGCGGAGTTTCTCTGTCTATTGTTGCATGCCACCCAGCGTGACCTGGTACTGGGTACTGTGAACACAATTACTTCGTACGTGGCTTCAATTCATCAGTTTTCTTTTTGTATCGCAATCACCGCCGTGATTGGTCCATGATATGCGAACATATATCTGGAAGATGTCGAATGAAGCGAAAAAGAGTTCTGTCCAGGTGAAGAGGCAGCGATGTATAGAAGCCTTTTAGCCCTCTCAGTTGGCGCAGACAGCCCGGGCTTCGCCGTTACGTGCCTGCGATCCGCTAAGTTTACTAGTCGCTCGAGGCTCTGACTCAAGGCATGGAATATCAGCGAAAGTGTCTCCCATCTCGCTTTAGTCAAAAGGCGCTCCACATGGTATAATCGTTCTAGTACCCTATTGCGCTATGATAGTTCCGCTAATTTTTCGTGCGTTCAGCCGAGGCTGTCGATCTTACGACTCAGACTAGCACTGATTAGCAAGATACCCCCTCGCATATTCTGCAGTATCATAGCGCTGGCAGCGTGACCGTTGACAGCAATTGGCGGCGCGCAAATGTTCCGCGAGACAGCTCCCACTCCGAACGTTCTGAGCCTTACCACCATGACGGCCGCTCCATATGCGCGTTGTGTCCCCGCCATTCGCGATCGTCCGAACCTCGCACAGGGATGAGTCAGTCGCCTCAGTGTCCCATGACGCTGTCCTTATCCGCGAACGAACCGTCTTCGCCCCATCTCTCAAGGATCGCTGACACGACCCTTGCTTACGGCTTCTTGTGTCGCTCACGGACAGTCTGAAAATTTCGCGACCCCAGATCTAGTGCGCATCTGAAATGCTCCGCGAGAGGAGAACCCACGAACGCGCTGGTTAAGGGGGAGAAGACTCCACTCAACGTCTGCGGCGGACACCCTGGGGCAGCGTGCCCGAATGAGGACTGATGCCGTGGCCCAGTTTGGCACGTCGTTTGTACGGAGTCGTTTGTCTTCCCAGGACGTCAGTCAGCTTCCGGACCAAGACACACCCTCGCGCTCCGGCCCAGCGCCCAGCCGAGATCTTTCTGTGTCTGTGACCACACCCGCAGATCCAGCCCATGAGGCCTGAATCTTGTCGTGAGATGTGGCACTGATGCCATCTGCTTGCATGGCCATAGCCATGGCGATCGCAGCCTGGCCACCTGCAGCCATTGAGAACAAGCGCAAATACGCACGGGTGCAGTTGTCGTCACCATCAGAAGTGAAGGTAAAGTAAGGTCCATGATTGCGTGCGCAGAAGGTAACAGGGTATGCATCAATTAATCTACAAATGCGTATGCCGACTTTTGGTGTATAATCGACCGGCTACCTACTGTCCACGACATCGGATGCCCTGGATGCGTAGGCATCGATCGTGAAGCAATTCTACGAGCTACTATACAGGGTTTATATGTGTATGCAAATGGAACTCACAATACCTCGACCAGTCCCAGGATGCAACACCGTCACAAGTCTCGTGCAGGATGCACGGTGCACATGTGCCGAGAGAAAGACCGTAATGCAAAAAGAAAGACTGCAGAGGATGCGTGGGCAAAAGTGAGCGTGGTGAACAGCAGAAGCTGCGCTGGCGCGAACAGAACGGCGACGAAAGGAGGGTAAAAGTACACCCCAGCCGCGGTCTGCAGGCGGTGCTGGCGCGAGCGCGAGAAGGATAACAAGGGTAGGAGATATGCTGATGGCAGCGATGCAAATGCGGAGCACAAGACCATGCGAAAGCGGAGCAGAAAACAGGGTAAGAACAACAGGCGGATCAGGTGCACGCGACTCGAGGCAAGAAACCAGGATGAGACAGGTATACAACGACGGCGAGGAAAGCACTGCAGACGAAAACCACCGGAAAGACAAGACCACCGATTGTCTAGTATTCGGCGTGTTTGTACTCGTCGATGGGCGACGCGTCGGATTCGATATCCGACGTGACTATTTTGCCTGTGACATCATAACGCACGAAGTTCGTTGGCAAGGGGTCTGAGACTGCTGCAAAAGTCTCCATCTATGAATTCTAGACATCAGTAAAATAAGCAGAGCGGAGAGTCGAATACGATTACCTGGACGTGCACCCCATCCTTCTTATCAGTACTACCTATTGTAACAGAAGGGCCACCACGCGTGCGCATGCCGCGACTGAATGCAATTGTTGAACCCACGGTTGAACTGAGGCATACAGTATCCATCAGCCCGGCTACCGTTGATAGGGTGAGCCACATACCCGAACACCTCTGCGCCAGGAGAAGTATAGTTGCTCAACCTACGGACCGCACGGCATGCGACAATCTGTGGCGATGTTAGGACACGAAACTATGTGATATAATGTACGCCCTTACCGTCGAAGCGATCGCAGCAGGCACATTGGCAATGATCGACATGACCGCATTCAGATCCAGCATCATGAATATCTGTCCAAGATGATCAGAATGTACAATGGGCTGTACAGCTATTAGCAAAACGTACCGTTGCGAGCAAATTCGACAAAAATCTGCGCATATATCCGCACATTATCAGTTCTGTTCGCTCATCGCGCATATATGCGCCAAACGCTGACTTACGCAATGATGAAGAAGATGAGCCCGTCACCAAAAATGAGCTGCACAATCCGGCTCTGCTCCCTCCGACGCGGGATAGCCAACTTCCATGCGGTCAGAGTGAGCACAAGGAAGTCGAAGGCCATGGAGTAAATGAACGTCGCCGCCAATACACGGTTATTGGTGTCCGTGATGGCGCAACCGGATCCAGGGATCCACGCCGCTTTGATGAGAATACCTGGCACGATCACATAATCAACGCATGAGCAAGAGGCGTTGTCGAAGAAAATACCAACCGTGTAGCAGGAGCGACCAATGCCCGAGGATGACACACACGAGCAGTCCAACAATGTACGGATTCTGTGACCACACAGCGATACTTCATATGGGGCAGTTTAGCGAGAGGCTGTATGCGTCATATTGTTCAACTTACGTGCGAAGGGAGAGGTTGATGCTAGCAAGTCCAATCGACGCATTCCCGAAGACCTACAGACAACAGAGATTGTTCGTGAATAACAAGGCAGAGCTGTAAATGAGCCCTACTTGCCTGATTGTAGGTGTACAGAGCTTGGCAGTTCACCGGGCTATGTAAAATATGTGGGCGCCGAACAAGTTGCGAGAGCTTAGAGGTACGTACACAGTAACGTTCAACGCGATCGCACTACGATTAACAGGTTAGTTCGGGCCTTTGGTGGGTCACGAGTACGACTGACATGCCAATCAATGCAAATAGCAAGAAATATCGGCCAGCGAAGTAGAAAATCTGGGAGTCGCGTGAGTCAAGTTCAGCCCAAGGCAGTGGAAATGCAGACCATTGGCCATCTGAATTTCTTCTTCCCGCTGATGAAGGCCCAATCAAAGGGGAGCGAGGTCACGAACTCCCAACTACACGACGATCGGGTTAGGCGCGGGGTTGCGGCTTCAAGGCGGCAAGACATACATGTAAAGGCCCAGCAGGGTGTGCATGAACTTGTCAAATGCCGCTGTGGGTGATAGAGACGGCGCATGAGATTAATTCGGCAGGCGAGGCGCCACAGCACGACGATCGAGACTGACCAGAGTCCTGGGCAATCTCCGCCTCTGATTGCCAGTCGACCATGATGGGCTGCGAGAGAGGGACGGTGGGGAGGGCCGAGGACGAAAGCGGCGGGGATGACTCGAGAGGGGAAACCGAGGCGAGGAAAGGCAAGAGGGCAGCGACGCATGCTATATACTGCTCTAGCGCGGAGGAGAAGCTCGCCAGAGAAGAGAAGCTTCTGCCTGTGAAGCAAGCCAATGTCGAGATCTCGTCCTCACATGCTCCCTGTCACCCGGCGATATCCTCCGCCCCCTCGTCCCCGTCCAGCAGCTTCAAGTAGTACTCTCTCCTCCCGCGCACTGTGCATTTCCATGATGCACGTCTGTTGCAGAAAAACCGTGACTTCCGCGACCCTGTAGCCGCACCACTTTCCAGATCCGCGGGCACGCACGCACGGCCAAGGCCATTTATGTTGATTAAAACACATCGTGACTTTAGCCGCAGACTGCGCGAACCCGTCGGACCACTTCTCCCACCAGCCCGGACTCGACGGAATGCCTGCTACCACCCATCGCACACAGGCTTCTGTCCGTCTTGAGGGCCGCGCTTGACCCAATCCGACCTCGGCCCCTTTCAATCTCATCCGCCAGTTAGGACGTCCTGGACGAGACGGCATTTTCGGCGTCATGCTGATAAGCTCTCGATAGCGGATATGAGGCGACTCGTCGACGACTTCTTGCCTTCGCACTCCAGCATTTCCGTCCAAGATTCTCACTCACAAGCTCTCCCTTTGTTTCCAAAAGACGTCTGATCATCCCGCCAAAGTTCCCTGTCGGCACCAGCACCACCCCGACCGTCTTGACCCGCGCGCACACTGGGCATTCCCATACCCCAAATGCTGAAAATGCGCTTTGAACCTTACTCTAATTGAGAGTCGATGGATTCTGCGCTAGCCTTGTGGAGCGACTGCATGGTACCGTCGTCGTCCTTCTGCTCGTTGCTCGTCGGCCGACCCAAGTGAGAACATCACAGTCTGGTCGCACCGCGACCGCTTTCGTCCGGAACCCGCGTAGGCTCCCTCAACGTCAACAGTAGTGCACCATCACCGCAAGCGACGTTACGACCCCTTCCACCATGCCCTGTTCGTCTGATTCGGCAGAGCAGAAACCGTCAATGTGTGCCCCCATCGCAGTTTAGCCTGGGCTGGAGGGCGATCGCCCTCAATAACGTTGCGCGCTAGCTATAGTGCCGATTTTTCGACACTCCCTGAGGCCTGAGACATGAGGGACCAGCTCGCCATCACCACTCATTATTCAGCACGCGCAATTTTTCAATTCGCAAGGACCCACAATACAGTTGAGAAATTTTCTGTCGCGTCTGCAGAGCCGCGGTGTCGACCCTCCACGCATGCCAGATTGCCGGTGCGCGCGCGCAAGTCGAAAATGATAATCACACCCCTTCTCTTGGGCTACGCGCATCATTTATGGTATTTCCACCCCTCCAACTCGGATTTCCCGCAGGTTGCACAGCTGCGCACCCGGCATTGAACTGTTGAAGTCAAAACGCTACAACATTATTACCCGACGAAAGCCCCTTGCAGACCCAGGCTTGATGCTGACGGCCGACCGCGGACACGCGCAGCGGCGGGCCTATCCCCGGCTCGGCCTCAGGTTCGTGAATCCTGGAAGGATGAGGCTGACCGCCTCCCGGTATCTCCGCTTGCGCCCAGTAACGGCAGACCCCAAGCCTGAGGTACAGTGTGTATGATAATGATCGCAGTTGGACTGATTGCACCGTCAGCTATCAGAGCGCGACGCCAAAACAGGGTCATGCGAGTCTCGGTCCCAGTTACTTTCGCATTGAGTGTGCGCGTCTTCTCCTTGACATGCTTACGATACCAGGCATACGAAAACGACGATGTCACTGCCAGCGGCGGGGTCGCTGACAGCCTGGCTTCTCGGCGCGCAGGCCATGGCCAGCAACGGCTCTCGCCTGACAAGCAAGCCCTGCTCTGGCGTTAGGCTAACGCCATCCCCAACTTGTCGCTCAACGTTGCGTTTCTGATGCGAGTGTGCCCAGGACCCTCTGAAGGCGCCCCTTACGCTTCTAGAACTACTGATACATCACCGTTATTCCTGTCCAGCCCGCCTCACGTACACCTGCTCCAATTGCTCTAATTTGTGCTCTGGGAGCATCGTTCAACCGTAGCTAGACTGCAAGTGGTGAATGACGACCTCGAAGATGGCCCCCAGCGCGAACCCCGGTTGAGTGATCGGATATGGGATGGCATCATGAGGTCTGGACTGGTACTGTCACTGTCAGCCGCACTCCAAACTCACGCTCGGCGAAGGTGCTTGCAACAAGTTATCGTCCATTCGTGGACGCAGCATCGGCATCTGTAGTACCTGGCGAAGTTCTTCTGCGGTAACGCTAACGGAGTTCTTCCGCTAGGTCGTCTTCTCCAACCCGCAGACTTCTGTGGTGCGCACCTTCCGTCAGACGAGGCCGGCGTTCTACACCTACTAGAACATCTATCTAAATGAGTGGGGTACCGTTGCCGCCAAGTGGTGAGTCAGTTTGATCTTACAAGTCGCGAGTCTAATCTCATATGCACATACAACACATACCCGACTAGTACAAAGGGCGAAGCGTCGAATATGAATTGCGCGTTCCCCGAAATCTGACCGAGATTGGTTTGCGCAGTTGCCACAGAGACACCGATATTGGGGGCACCGCGTTCTCATGAACCAGCAGATCTCTTGGAGCAGGAACGCGACCCAGCGGCTTCGCGGGATCTCTCGTAGCCGACGTGTTAGAAGCGTCGTAATATTCCATCTTGACTTCGAGCGGTCTAGCCTGAGAGGCAATAGAGGTAGGTTTAAGGCAGGAACCATTTCGCCATGAACTCGTTCGCCTGAGCAGGACGGGAAACCTGTAGATCGGACGAATTGTACTATTAATTACATTCAGTTCGTATTGCGACTGCACCCGGCGAAAATTTCCAAGAATATCGTAGGAAAACCCCCATCTCAACAAAATTAGCAAGCGAAGACTATACGAGGACTATAAACTAATGGGAGATCGCCACGATAAAAATGCTGCGGTTTTCTGTCCGGTATATCGACCCACGTGCTTTGAAGGAAGGTAGCAAGGTCTTCATCAATATACGGTAAGACATTGAGCCAGCCGGTGGTCACGTCTGAGGCGGATCGGTGGTCCGCGAAGAATCGTAGGGGCACCTGCGAGGCGAGTAGTTTCACGCTGCGAGAGATACAAAGAGAGGAAGCAACCCTCCCCTTCCGTCGGTCACAGGCTGCAGTGTGGGCGAGATTTTGGTATGGACGTCCGCAGATGTCTCGTGGAACTCGAGAGAGCGAATAAGTGTAGCGAGGATGACCTTGAATTCGAAGATCGCTGCCGGGTAGAAGCGAATCAGCAAGAAAAAGACGCACGTACGAGACACCTTGAGTGAAGGTGAACAAAAGGTTCAAGTCACTTACCAAGACGGTATCCAATGCAGTTGCGCGGTCCGTCGCAGAACGTCACCAGCCCACTCCATCCATGGGGGAGTTCCGATGGCGCCGGAACCCCTCCAGGTACAATCCATCTTTCCGGGTGGAAGTCGGCTGCATCAGGGCCCCACACAGCCGTGTTAACATGCATGGTGGTAAAGGGGATGTGGAACACCTATCAAGTCAGCCGCATATTCAGCATTCCGGACAACTGGGGCGCATGGATAGCGTGTACCTGACCGGCCCTCACGCGGAGGGAAGAGATGGTCTTGCCAGTGGTGGTGCGGACAGGTTTGCTGAGAGGGATCACGTCGTCCTTCAGAGCAACGCGCTCGGTTTGTGGTGAAGCCGGGTGAAGGCGCAATCTTCCAGGTGAAGATTTCAGCTATGATGCCAAGTTGCGCTTGTAAATCGCTACGCACCCTTCTTTGACAACGGCGTCGAGGTACTCGAGTCGCTGAATGTCGTCGTAAGAGAAATTGCGCCCGCGCTGCCGTACTTCGTCGCGTAATTTCTGCTGAATTTCGGGCCGCTTCGCCAGTTCCAGTAGTGTGAAGTTCAGCGACCCTGCCGTAGTCTCGTGACCAACCATCATAAACGTACTTATCTGCGAAGGATGATTGACAGCGTTAATGGACGACATAATACTCCGACGGCCGGAGACCTTCGAAGATAATTGGCTCACTTACATTATCCACGATCTGTTGCGCGGTCAAGCGCTCCACCTTAGATCCGTCCCCATTGTCGGCCTTCATCAGTGTGCTCAGAATATCCCGACCTCGCTCGTTGAACGTCCCACGTTCGAGAAGGCGCATAGAAAGCTTTGACACGATCTCCCTAATCTGACCGCCAGCCTTGATAGCAGGCAGAGGTAGAAGGAATATTTGCGGGAATGTACGAATGACGAGCATCGCGATGAATGCACCGAATGTGAGGCCACTATTCACATGGCCGTTCCAGGACGCATGAATCTGTTTCGCTTCTGTTGATTGGCCTGACCTAAAGTCATAGCCAAATGCGACACGTCCGATGATGTCTAGTCTGATATAAGCATGTTCTGTTGAGCCCCATCGTCGTACGATAACAACGTGACGCACGTGCAAGTAGATGTGTATTCGACGATGTTTACGGTGGCCGCGCCGGCGTGTGAGAGTAGGTGGTTCGTCAGACGGCTTTCGAGCTGCGGTGATAGTGGGTAAGCCACCTTCCTAACCACAGGAAACACCTTACCTTCTCCGAGCATTCAGCAATGTCATCGGCCATACCCTTAATCGCTTCGGAACTATGTCACAAATTAATTAGCGAGCACTCAGTAATGCCACAGTACAAGCACAGAAGATTAAAACAATAGTAGAATAGCCCATACGTTTCCTGAAGAGCGAAAGAGCGAAGAGAGGCGGAGCTACACGTACGAAAAGGCATTCGCCAAGATCCTACGTTGCTTCTTGTGGTCGTCGCCTTCTGCCCAGACCAGACCCTTGCCTAAGACGTTTGCGACAGGAGGGCGAAACGCGGGCGACTTGACTACGTCCAGACCACATCAGCAAGGGGCTTTGAGGGTATCAGGGACTCAAACACAATCCAGCGCACCGTAATCATCTGAGTTTTGGAATATATACTGGACCGCTGCATGGTCCGCAGCAACGATCTGCATTCTTAGATCACATTCAACATCTTAGGGGAGCTAGGAATGATGATTTACGATGTCGCTATGAAACAGCGCGGCCTTGATTTTGAATATGGGACCCCAGACAGAGGCCCAGTTGGTGTACATCTCGGTTGCTTGTCCTTCAAAAGCAAGCAACTCATGGCCCCAGATCCAGCTTGCTATTCCGCGAGACTGATTGCCCCCGGAATGAGTTCATCATCGTAAGCCGCACTTCGGTTCGGGCGCACTCACAGGACCTAAGAGAACATGTCCATCTTCACGCTGTCGCGAAATGAGGAGGCGATAAACATAGATAGCGGAAACGAATGACAGGAGCAAGACAGCTTGCTGTGTGGCGGAGAACGAGGAGAGCATGATGGGGGCTCGGGGGACACGCGAAGAGCGCGTCGCAAAGCGAGAGACGGCGAGATGGAGAGTTGCCCTGGATGGCCGCCTAGGTGTAATTTGAATGAGGACTCGAGGGAGCGCGTCGGCTTGGAGGATTGCGGCAGCACGAGGCTTGGTGAATCCAGGAGTGCAGACTACTTAGCGACCCTGTTACCTGGCTGGCGGTGTTGCTCTTCTGATCCGACGAGGTAGAGCGACGCTTACCAGACGCGAGGACGGCGCCAGCAGATTTTATTTTATTTCATGGCCGGTGGGAGCGTGCCACGACGAAATGAAACGAGCGTCAAGACAGTGCAGAGCCGCGGAGTGTGGGTTCACATGTCTCGTCTCCTTGCTTGCTCGGAAGATCCCTGCCGCAGTGGCCCGCGGTCTGCGCGTCCTGGCGCTCAAAATTGCAGGAAGTCTGGAGATGTCGTAACACACTTTCCGACAAGGAATCTGATGCGATGCAAGGAAGCAGGCATACGGCGGTGGGTAATTACCATTAAATTCGACAGAAGCCTCGGCTGCACTGACGGGGATGTCCCTGCACGTGCGGAATTCCCTGTATGGGCACTTCTATGTTTTCCCTTTACCGCCGCCCCTTGTCCTATATCTTCTCGCACACCATGACCCCGAACGGCCAGAGCAGCACGGTCTTCTCCCCGTCGATCCTCTGTCTCCTTCAGTCTCCTCCTCGTTCGACCCCCTCGTTCAATTGCATTCATCATGCCCAAGTGGGACACGACCGAGGAACTCGTGGCTGATGCGGGCATGTCTCCTCGTCTCTTGTCTTGGTGCGGTCGAGCTCACCGTGCCGTCTGATAGCCGCCTTCGAAAAGCTGATGCACTGCTTGGCTGGCCTGTACTTGTGAGCACCTCTTTCCATGTCCCCGTATCCTAAAATAACCGTCGACCAGCTGGGAATTTGTCACTTCCTTGGACTTCGACTGGCAGTTTATCTCTGGCAGGAAAAAGTTCCAATGGCCATTGGTAAACGAAAATTCGATCGTCATTTTTACACCGATCACTCACGTCCTCTTCAGATCTTCTACATGGCCGGGCGATATTGCCTTTTCTTCGCATTAATCGGAATGTAGGTTTTCGACAGCTTGTCCGTGGTATGCTGAGAGCTTACTTTGTTGTAGTTTGATAGCTCTCGATACCACAACGTAAGTAACTGCCTTGAACCGGCGGCATCGTTTGCTCATTCTTGGGCAGTGAGATCAACTGCCAAGCTCTTTACACGTTCAATCAGGTAAATCAGGCTCCAAGTCGATGTTGATGCCAGCAGACTGATGTTCGAAACCAGCTCGCAGGTGACGCCGCTGTTGGGTTGGCCAGCATCAACTTGTCCATTCGCACGTAAGCTGACACATTTTTCGGCAATGATATTTGCTGACATGTATGCGATCAGTATGGCGGTGTGGTCACAGAGCCTCTACATCGTGATTCCTCTCGTCATTGTCATCTTAGGGCATTGGTCCTTGATCTTGCAAGGTAAATTATTCATCAGATCTGCAATATAATATATAGCGCAAACACTGATCGGGCGTACTAGGTGTTCTGCTCAAGGCCTCATGGGTCCCCGGAACAGGCTGTGCGATCACTCAGACAAACAACACCATTCTCGCGGCGACATTCATATATTCAATGTGCTTCGATGCTCTTGTTATGACTCTCAATGTTGTCAAGCTCTTTGGCCGTACTTCGCGATCGCAACTTGTATCCTTGCTCTTTAAGGATGGCCTTATTTACTTCATCGTGGCGTATGTCATCGAGTGTTTACTTGTTTGTCTTGCTAATGTCTATTGGCAGGTTTGTTGCCAATTTGATTGCCACGATATTCATGATCATGGATCTCAATTCGGTCATGAGTGTCATCTTCAATGTTCCTGCCGCCATAGCATCCACGGTCAGTGGTCGATTTTCAAAATCTCTGTGCTGTCAATGGTGTTTATGATAATCCAGATTGTTGCATGCCGCGCTGTGCGTCGCTTGAACAAGTTCAAGAACAATGGTCCGGAGGTGTAGTAAGTTTCCAAACGCTTCATTTTCATAATGTCACTTCTCATTGCCTTTTTAGTACAACAAGTAGCCATTCCGGCGCTGTTGCCTTCCGCACGGCCAATGCGCAGATCGTTAGCCACGGTGGTCGCCCGAAGTCGGTCGGCCCGAAGGAGCTTTCGGGAGTACATGTTCAAGTCTGTACTTCTATTTTTGTTCAATACCCGCCCTGACTAAGCTGTCGCTATAGATGCAAACCTTCACTGTCGGCGATGATGACTTGCCCAACTATGTACACGAGACACAATCGAGGCCTGGGGACGTCGAATCCGCCGTGTCCGAGATAGACTACAAGACGGAGGCGCTATAAAAGTGACTGCGCTTACGGCACCATCAACATACGCATCAATGCATAGATTCATGTACATACCGTACGTCCGCCCCGGTCTGGCGTGGCTTTTTCTGTAATGACTCTCATGACACGTACGCATAACTGTAGATCCACTGCGGTGCATCCCCGCGGTATAATTCGCATCACCATCGTCTTCGCATTGCACGCCGCGTAGGCATCCACTATCGAATCGTTCTCATTTGCTTGCATTCCTTCCTTCCTGTCTAGCTTGCTGCCGCCATTCACTTCCAGTTGCCTCTCCTGTGGTGCACCTGCGGTGTGCTCGAATACCATACTCATGCCTGCCGACTGATGTCGGTGAGCGCATAGTGATACCCAGCTGACTGTTGCTGCTGTGCGCCGGATGGGGGCGGGAGCGGCGGTCTGTAGAAGTTGTAGATTCTCTTACTATACCAGGGTGTCATTGCTATACATGGGCTAGTCCGGATGGACATTGAGGAGGAAGGGATCATCCAACAAAAGGGTAGAATCTACATCTAATGTAATCGAAGTCAATATTTTTGAAATGTAATCTACACAATCAACTCTGTCGTTACAATGTTTACATGGCCTGTCAAAAAATTGCGTCCACATTCCTTTGTTAGGATTGAGAGTGATTGGTCTTGCTGTCGATGCTACTTATCATTGATAGTAGTAACTGCCTGGTTAATCTTTCGCATGGCGATCTGGAAGGTGTTGCGATGAACCCCAATTGCGTTGTTATCTACTTACAAGCGATTATACATTATTAGATGTGTTCTGATGAAGTTGCGCCCTGACTGTGCTTCTGAGTATTATTTACACTCAGTCAATCGCGATCGGGGATCGGAGATAGCCGCTTCACCAGTGCACCATCTGCTAAGTACTAGTCAGTCAATCTTAGACGGCGATGAGCTCGGGCGGCGGGCATCGATGGTCATGTAAGTAAAATAGCGACTGAGACAAGATGATGAATCGAAACAGAATTTTACGGGCCGCATACGAGATACCAACTTTACTAGGAATTGGGAGATCTGCCTTGGTGAGCAAAATCTCCCATTAAATCTGATCACGCAATCCTCGGAGCAACCTATTCATGATAATTCTCCACGCTCTCTTCAGGTCCATGGCTTTGTCCAGGTCTCCCCCGAAATTCAATCTGTTACTTGTGGTGCGGCCCCGAAATACATCGCTCGTTCCTCAATCATCGGCCGACGACATGAGCCGTTCGCCGTAGTCTAGGTACGAGATCACCGTGGCCTTATTCAGATCTTCCCGCCAGGACGGCCGCACCCCCAGATCGCGTCGCCACTTACGACGCTACCCCCGTGTGCGCCATGACGGCTCCGATCTTTCGTGAAAGCTCTTCTGACCCCGGGCCGCTTCGACCCATGTCACTGCCGCGCGGGATGGCAAAGCATGGCGGCCCCAGGCATCCGCCGACTGGCCCAGGGGTCGTTCCCGGTCACCGTCATGCACGCAGTCACCTAGCAACCGAGCGTTGGGAGGTCTGAATTTTTATTTCTGATTCAGGATGACGACCTGATTTCATTCAGTGTTCAGGCCTTGCTCCAATACCACAGCTGTCTGCTAGCCTGCGTTCTCGCTCTGAGGAATGGCTACTTGGCGAGAATAAACATGCTCCATTCCCCATACCTCAAAGCGTCACAGTCCAAGACTGTCATGCTATCGTATCGCGCCAAAATCGATCAAGAAAAGCGAATCGATGATCATGTACCGGATAAAAAAGAGGCCTCCGGGGATCAACGCTCAGTCTGTACCATGTCTCAACATCTAAACCTACCCATACTCTCAGCTCGCGTCGCAAAAACACTATACCACGGCTGATGAGATTCGGAGATGCTGCAAACTTCGTTTCTCAATAGCTCCTTGAAACTCGCCGGCTTCTTCCTGTTCTTTGCGCCGTCTGATCCCCATTCGTACTCGTGCCGTGTCTGCGCACCTCTTGTCGGGATGTGAGCGTGGTTCTTCCCGAGTCTGGGGATGCACGCAAAGGCGGTAGATAATGCTTCTGGTAGTTGTACTTCGACCTTGCGGTCCTAGTCGTCTGGTGCGGCATTGGGATCTCGACAATACTTGGAGATCAAGCCGGAGGCGTCAGTGAGGACCAACTTAATCCGCTTTGTTAGAGGACTCCTCTCCAAAGACGATATGAGAGAGCTAATATTCCATAAAAGAAAACTATGCCATTTGTCTTTGCAGTGAAGTCCTGATGAGTTATGACTAGACGATGACCCGTGAAGCTAGCTCACGGCGAATTGAAAAGAACCTACAAAGATAGAAGGTAGGCACAAAATAAATAAGCACATCACAGCTAATTAGATCCAACACCGGTACCCCAGGGGCCCAACGGCGCCCTCATCCTTCGCAGAGACTGCGCTTGACAAAACAGAAACAGCAATTATCGATCAAGATTATCATGTGCAGTCTGTTCAGTTTTTAGGCTCGGGGCTGGCGCCTGAAGCCGCTAGGATTCAAAGTCATCAGCGGTGCGCCGCCGTAAACGGGTGCCTGACCAAGTCGGCGAGCGAACAAACCACTGTCCGAGTAAAGGCCACAGTGATATCTACGACAGCGTGAAAAGTAACGGGATTTTCGACATTCAGACACAAATACTGGAGGAATGGTATCAGACGCACAATTTATGGTTTATGGATTTTGAGCTGGTATGGTATACAAAGCCAATGGAAGGTCATAATTCAAAGAGCCTCCGGCTTGAGGTCCAGCACAGTGTCAGCCGACTCAAGGTCCACTGCCCTTGGCCGCGCATCCCGCGAGTAATTTCGCACATCATCTGCCACAGTGAATGTTTGCATCTTGACAGTCGTGAGCATCTCATCTGTAACATCGAATATTAATATACCTGTACATGCACACCCGACATGTCCCTCGGGACAGTTTGCTTCTGACGATCACCAGAGGCGGGTACATTTCCAGAAAAGAAGTTGAGAACGCCGCCGGAACCACTGCTTGATTGGCTGAAGAAGGGTGTCATTAGATATTGTAGCATGGGCAGACGAAATGATATGTACTCACAAGACCTCTGGACCCTGTAATTTGAATGTAGTCAAGCGACGCACGGCACGACACGAAAATGTCTGGACATGAGGTCATTACAGTTGTGACAGACACACTGGGGAAACAAACTCACTGTAGATACAACAGCGGCAGGCACATTGAAAATGACGCTCATGACCGAGTTGAGGTTCAAAACCATGAACACCGTAGCGATCAAGTTGGCGATAAACCTGTGCTATCGTCAGTATCTGTGCAGTTCAATGAAGCAAGAATAGAACATACGAGGCGATGAAATAAATCAGACCATCCTTGAACAGAAGCGCGACAACCTGCGATCTTCCCTGGCGGCGCAGCAGCTTAATAGCACTCAGCACCATCACAAGGGCATCGAAACACATAGAGTAGATAAACGTTGCGGCAAGGATAGTGTTGTTCGTTTGCGTGATGGCACAACCGGTGCCAGGTATATATTCTGCTTTTAGCTGGGTGGCTTTCACATCAAAGAATGAGCCAACCATATTATTTTCGTCTGACATGATAGCCATACCTTGTAATAGCAGCGACCAATGTCCGAGGATGACAAGAACAAGGGGAACGACAATATACAAACTCTGGGACCAAACAGCCATGCTGACGAAGAGTTGGCACTTGTTGTGATTAGTAAAGCGATCAACTCACGTTCGAATGGCAAGATTGATACACGCCAGTCCGATAGCAGCATCACCAGTCAGCTTGGAGGAAGGTTCACTACGCCAATCGAATCTTCAAAAAGCACGAGGCTTACCTGATTAAAGGTATACAGGGCTTGACAGTTAAGTTTTCTGCCAAGAGGTGAGCGAAGAGCATAGTTTCGCATTGCAGGACCCACGATGGATAATCAAGGGCTATCAGACTGCAGAACATAATGTGAATATCTATCCAGGTTACCATAAGATAAGGAAGCACCCACATGCCGATCATGGCGATAAGAAGACAGTATCTATCGGCCAGATAGAATATCTGTGAAAGTATTTGATATTATCCTGCGACTCGAGTGAGAGCAATGGATTTACCAGTGGCCAATGGAATTTCCTCTTGCGCGTGATGAACGACCATTCAAAGTCCAAGGAGATTGCCCATTCCATACTATGCCAAGACAATGAGATGGGCATGCAATAACATGGGGCGAACACTGAACGTACAAATACACACCCGCCATGCAGTGCATCAGCTTTTCGAAAGCAGCTGATTGAATCTCGACGATGAGTCCAGTTGCGCGAGATGCAAGATATGCATTGTATGCGCACCTGCATCGGTCGCGAGCTCTTCTGGCGAATCCCACTTCCCCATGGCGTTAATGGATCGGTGAGATAGAAACTAGGACACAAGCGGCCAGGAGAGCTGCAGATGGGCGGGCAGGCCACACTGCCTGGCATGATGGTATACATCGCGACAATTATATTGTGGAGGGCAACAAGTCCTCTTCCGCTACGAGTTTCACGTGCAGAGAGTGTCACCGACTCTCTACAATGTCTCGGGATTTATGTGATCGATCATAATCCGCGAAATATGACACGCTGCAACGACAATCAGAAAATATCGTGGAAACTCGCTTCAATGATTATTATTTCACCGTGCTATATGATTATGGATGCACAGGAATTTTACGCTCGGTGTATGTGTGAAGTTCCGCTCTCTTCGGATTTATCCTTTTGAGTCAACTAACTCCCTCGCCGGGAGCTCTTAAACTCCCGAGTCAACTGGCTCCTTCGCCGGGAGGCTCTTACACTCGCGGTGATGCACCATGAGCCTAGAGACCCTGCCCCGCAGCATGCTCCCTGCGCTTTGCGGCCTCGCGCTCAAGGCGTTCAGCCTCAGCGAGCTCGTTTCCCCGCGCGTGCAACTGCTGGGCTTCCTGCTCCCGCTGCGCAGCTTGAGTGCGCAATGCCTGGGCGCTGATGCCACCACCGCCAGCTGCACCACTGGCGACTGCGCCACCTCCCCCACCGTGGCCGTAGCCCTCATTCTGGCCACTACCATATGTCGCCTCGCGACCTTGACCTTCACGGCCACGGTGGCCCACTCCCCCATGGCCGCCGTCGCGATGATGGCCGATCCCAGTGTTCTTGAAAAGTAGACACAGTCAGTGGTTGGTCACATACTTAGTGACACGAAATATGACTTACACCGTCATAGGCCGTCGGTCCTCCCTGCCCTTCCTGACCTTGGACACCAGTCTGGGCAGCCTGACCTTGCCCGTATGTACTGGCATACTGGCCTTGGCCTTGGTCGAAGCCGACGCCGCGGTCGTCGGACCGAGGCTGTCCTTGACCCCCGGTTGGCTCGCTGTAACCGCCCTGACCCTGTTGCTGAGAGTTCTGCCCGTTCCAATCAGTTATTCTGTTGTGGCAGGAATGATTGCATATGTTGAACGCACCTTATTTCCGAATAGCGTCATAATTGTAGTTGTTGGTGAGTGTGGATGATATGAAGTGTCAAGATGACTCCTTACTGCGAATTCTGCGACACTATATAATATGTGGACGTGGAGTATGTTGGCGCTCCAGAATCATGGGTCCAAGGAATTGGCAACGAATGGTTGCAGCTGCCCGCGTTCAAGCCAAGTGTGAGGAGCTGCGTGCAAGATGTGACGTCACTTGATAACCACGTGGCAACGTAAGGGGCGTAAAGCCGTGGTGACCAAGTGCTTGTGGCGGCACGGGCGCGTTTCTTGTTGTCGCTGGCCGTTGGCTGAACACTGCTCTCGTCCTCTGAGTCTGACTGTATTCAGGCCGTAGCAGTCGTATAGACGTTTTGAGCATATTGTCCAAATATTGGAAGACTGATGGTATGAAACTACTTTCTCGTCTCCGCAAGCGTTCATGATCCGCCTAATTGCGGGATTTGAGTATGAATTTAACATACAGTATCACCAACTAGGCATAATAGGCCGAGTATACTGATAGCCATTATCCACCCTTCCTTCAGTACCTCTGATCGCCTCCACCATTGTCTCTCCAGCCGGCTCCCAAGTGCTTGTTGGCGGGATGGGCACCTAGTCTGAAGATCAGCAACTCGACTAGCTCACCACATAATCTTGTCAACACTCACCGGAAGCAACAGCTCGCTCCCTGTGTACCGATGCCTCTTGTTCGAGTCGCTCTGCTTCAGCAATCTCCGCGCCTTGGGCCTTGATAGCGCCGGCCTCTCGGTCCTTCTGCACACCTTGCGCTTGAAGGGCACGGCTGCCGACCAAGTCGCCGAATTTCTGCTCCGCCCGACCTTCCATGCGATTGACACCGCCACCAGTATGATGATGGTGGTGCCCATGAGTCGTCCCCTGGTCGGTTTGTAAATAAACCGCTAAGTGATGCACCCAGCTGATGCAACTCTCACCTCGTTATACCCTTGGCCAGTCCCCGCAGCGCGATTGGCGTCGCCTTGATGGGTAGCAGTGGGAACTTGTACACCACTGTGGTCTTGACCGGTGAGTCCACCGCCACTCCCAACCCCTCCAGTGGAGTAATTGGCAGCATTCGGGTCTCCGCCTACACCAACACCTCTCCCTCCTGCGTAAGTATTGGCATTGGGATCGCCACCGACACCGACACCTCGCCCTTGGCGATCCTCGCGCTGGTCATAATTAGGATCTTGATGCTGGGTGGTGGAAGTCTGGCTCTGGCCCTGACCCTCAGATTTCTTCTGAGAGGCAGTCAGCAAATAAATACTCGTCAAACACCAGACACGACGCTTACCTTGCTCTTGAACAGCGGCATTTAATATGGTCGTAGTTTCAGTTATGACGAGATTGTTAAAGAGATGTTTGGTCGGCTTCAAGAGAGATTCAGGTCCTTATAACGATAAGAATAGTTGTGGAGATGTATGACGCGGGTGTGGCTGTCAGTGAGCGAGGGCTCCAGCCTTCGAGGCCTATGACTTTCCGCCCTGGCTTGTCAGGGCTAGGCGTCGGGGCGTCAGCGTACAAGCGCTAGCACTGGGGTGAGCTGTGGAGCGGCCGAGGAGCGGGAGTGGAGGTGGCCGTACTACATCCACCGCATCCCAGGTTTTCGTGAAATTCATCAGCAAAATCGTGATTAACGTAGATAGCACAACAAATTACAACATGAGCATGCATGAGTACCCCTAGGGACTCAATAGCAGTGTTTTACTCCACCCTTCGTGAGTGGGTTGGCACCACAATCCACACCATAACCATGAAGCCCATCATAGATACCAGCCTGCGTAATAAGGAAACTATTAGACGATACCCAAAACGCACTCAGCAAAGATCACTTACAACGGCTGTAAACTCTTGATACCCTCTTTAGACGCAAGCAGACCGGTGAGGAAAGGGAAGAATGCCGAACCAGCCTGACCGAAGCCGGCGATCCAGCCAATACATCCGGTAAGGAGCCATGACGGAAGAATGCGCCCGGAGTGGACCATCACAATGGGATACACGGGGCCAAGAAGCATGCCCACAAAGGCAACGGCCACTGCGCCGCCGATGAGAGATGGGACGAACCAAACTATAAGCTCGAAGCTGTAGGTGTTTGGGGTCAGAGGAAATTTGGAACAGAGCGCGCGCATAGTTACCCAATTGCAAGGATCAAGTAGAGGAAGATCGCATAGCGTTCGCCAACCTGACAAAGACTTGGTCTGAGCAACGACATTTGCGGGGGGCCGAATGGCTACTCACCGCTTTGTTGACCCAAAGAAGCGCAACGCGGCCGAGGGTAAGTCCTTCGACGGCGATGAGAAAATGACTAGATAGAACTATAGAAATAGCGAAGGACAGGCAAATACCTCCGAAAAATCCCGACGAAATGTATCCGGAAGAGGGACCACCAGAACGCACATCAATAACGTATGTGACGATCCAACCTTATCAGAGTGAACACTTCATAGTGTTCGTCTGGTGTGATCCGCTTACCGCCAATCGTAACCTCCGTACCAACGTAAACGAGTATGAAGAAAGCTAGAAGATGCAATGCTCTTAGGCGGAAAATCTGCTTATATTTGCTTTCATTGCTGGTATGTTTCTCAGCAGGCGTCTGCCCGATTTCGGCCAGACATTCTGCGCAAACATGAGTCAGTACCAGCATAGGAAACACACAGATGTGGCGAGCGGACCATCCAGCGTCCTGAAACGGAGCACCGCAACGAGGAAGACCAAGTTGATGGAAGCAACGGCCAATGAAATCAGGTAATGGAAAGACCAGTGACGCATCTGTGAGAATTGTGTTGCTACAAGAGGTGAGCACAATGCGCCCAAACCTGGAAGGAAAGATATGTCAATGAATGGCAGCATGGCCAGGAGGCTGCTTGCCATAGACCGCGTGCATGATACCCATCTTCGTCGCTGCTCCGGACTGCAGACTGCTAACATATCCGTTTGCACCTGCATCCTGCACCATTGGCTCAGCTTGACGCATTGTCAAGTAGAGTGTGATGGCTACCTGAAGTGCAATACCGAACCCGTTGACAGCATATCCCATCACAAACACTGGAAAGGGCGGCGCAGGCGCAGCCAGAGCGTAGCCGATCATCTGCGCCGCAGATCCTGAGCGACATGAGATCGAGTTAATACCATCAAGAAAAAATCTACCTATGACCATGACCTGAACATTGTCATATTTGAACAATCAATTTGAAAACGGTTGCGCATAGAGGACATACAATGCCCAAACCAAAGCGGTCTGTGAGGGCGACGTTGGCCGCTGCGGCGGTAATGAAGCCCTGCCCTAATATTTAACTGGACCGCAGCACAACGTCCAGACGAATGGAGGAAACCATACCACGCAGTTGAACACGAAGATCAATGAAACGACGGCGAATCCGAGCTGTCAATTAATCTCATATTGACTGATACGGAATACGATACACCAGCTTTAATGCGTACGTGGTAAACGCTCTGTATGCGAGGCAGCAAGGGGCCAGTGGTGCCGTCATTCCATCCAGCGAGAAAGAGGGACCAGCACATTGCCGCAAATTGGATGTTGGCCTTGCTACGAGGAGCTGAGGACAGGTCAGTGGGTTTTGCAACGCTATCCGGCCTGGATGACCCGGGGTTACGGGTGAGTTCGACCATTTCGACAGACTTTGAGTCATCTCGTAGAGACAATACGACTTGCGGTGTCTCTGGAGGATGAGGCGAGCGGCTTCGAATCGAGGTTGATGCAGAGCCAGGCATGCTCATTTGTTTCAGCAAGTTTGCCTGGATGAGTTTCTTCAAAAAAAAAAAAGATGGATGCGAGTCAGTCCAAGGTCAAGACGTGTTCAATTTATATGCTATATGGATAGCAGGGAGTCTCTTGGGCCATCAGAAGACTGACCTCAGGCTCGGACTGACCCCGGGAGAACTGAAGCTATCTGAGGCAGTCGAACGACGTGTTCGCCATGTGACGCCCGCGCCTGCAAGGGGTCTCAAACTCTTACTCGACATCAGCCTCGCTCTCCGTTGTTTTCGCTGTCAGGTGTGTCTTTGGTCGCTGTTTCGAGCGTTGAGCGCGATAAGGCTGAGGCGCTGACGACTGCGTGCGTACTGTGCAGTTCTCGATTTCAAACTAGGCCTAATAGCGATCGAACTGACGTGTCGAGACGTGTCGGCGTCGCGTCCTTCGTATCACCATCCCATTTCTCCCTCCTTAACTTCGCGCGATACTCGCTCTCCTCTTCCATGGCATCACCTTCGCAGCAACTCCCGCCCGGATGGGCAGCTGAATGGTAAGTCTTCCTGAATGCCTTCTTTCAATATGGTTTTGAGCGGCGTCTAGGGATCAGACCAACCAGCGGTATCTCTTTATAGGTATGTGTCTTATTCCTGCTCGCAGTCCTCGTTTTACTTATTGCGATCCAAGAAACCGCGACTGGTCGTTCACAGTGGGAGGTTCCTATGGCACCTGCAGACATGGGTAACCCCGCATCGCCTTCCGTCTCGCCTCCTCCAGCCAATGCACCCCACTCTAAACGTCGTCAATACGCTGCTGGTCAGACCCAAGCTTACTATGGTGCGACTGATGGTTTAGCAGCTGCTGGGCCCGCATATGGTGCTGCCGCTCAACAACCTCAGCCTGCACAGCTTTTCACTCCCGGACTGGCCGCGGAGAATCAGTTCCAGCAGCAGCAGATGCAGGCACAACAAGCAGGATACTACGGAGGGCCCGCTCCCCAAGCCGAGCCGGAGTACATCAACGCACCTGGATTCGGTCAAGCTCAAGCGGGCCCAGTGAACGCGCTTGCTGATCAGTTCGGGCAGATGAACGTTGGCGGCCCGAAACGACTCACGCTCTACACGACTAATCTGCTCACTTCGCCGCCGGACCCACGAGAGCTGCATCGGCCTCCTCCGGACATTATCCTGCCCCAAGGCGCGAGTCTCTCGCCGTCGCCCACTGCCAACGCAGACCCGTCCTACCAGCGGTGTACGCTGAATGCTGTTCCTGTGTCGAATTCCCTTCTCAACAAGACCAAGATTCCCCTTGCGCTCATCCTGACTCCTTATCGTACCCTCAAGGAGGGTGATGATCCCGTCCCGCTTGTCACGGATACGGTCATTGCGCGCTGCAGGCGTTGCAGAACGTACATCAACCCGTACGTTCAGTTCATTGACGGAGGCAACCGGTGAGCATTCTCCTAATTTTATTTTATGTATGTTTTGAACCTGTGCTGATCTGCCCATGCAGCTGGCGGTGTTGCATGTGTAACATGTCGAATGAAGTACCTCAATTATTTGACTGGGACCAGGTCCGGAACCAGCCTGGGGACAGATGGTCTCGTGCTGAGCTGAATCATTCCGTCGTTGAATTTGTCGCCCCTACGGAGTATATGGTTCGGCCTCCGCAGCCGGCGGTGTATGTTTTCCTCATCGACGTCAGCCACACTGCCATCCAATCTGGCATGGTGGCTACTGCAACGCGTACGATCCTCGAGAATTTGGACCGCATTCCCAACGAAGATTCGCGGACGAAGGTGGCCATCGTTGCATTTGATGTCTCACTGTACTTCTTCTCGATGCCTGTGAGTGTGCCGATAGCTGAGTGTGCGCTTATACTCATAACACAACCGCGTAGTCTGGTACAACCGAGTCGTCTATGCTTGTTGTGTCCGACATCGACGACGTGTTCTTGCCCAAACCCACAGATCTGCTCGTAAATTTGGCAGAGGCTCGTGCATCGCTGGAGGCACTTCTCGGCCGGCTGGGTGACATGTTCCAGGAAAATCACACCATCGGAAGTGCCCTAGGACCTGCTTTACAGGCTGGATTTAAGTTGATGGTACGTATATGGGCCTCATGCATCATTCCATTACCTAAGATCTGTGTCAGGCGCCTATCGGGGGCAAGGTCATCGTGCTGTCTTCAAGTCTACCCTCACTGGGAGCTGGGGCACTCAAAAACAGAGAGGACCCGAAGATTCTTGGTACGTCGAAGGTAGGATGTGACACTTCAATACATGTGCGATGTAATATTTATTTTGGCGCCAGGAATCCGGTCTCCTGCAAGCTGCGTCGCCGTTCTACAAGACATTCGCGATAGAATGCTCGAGAGCACAGGTGTCTGTGGATATGTTCCTCTTTAGCGCTTCATACCAGGATGTTGCGACTCTTGGTACGTCCTATGCGTCTCGGGAGGAGTGGTGTCGTCCTGACGATGAGTGCGCGTCATCTTAGCTTGCCTTCCACACTACACGTCCGGGCAGACCTATTTCTACCCCGCATTCAATGCCTCTCGTACGGAGGATGCCATTAAGTTTGCACACGAATTTGGCGAGGTATTAGCAATGCCGATTATGTTGGAGGCCGTCATGCGCGTCCGGGCATCAAAAAGTGCCATTTTTCTCAAGACTATCTTAGTGGTTGGCTTGCTAATATAGCTTGCATAGACCTCCGCATGTCGTCGTTCCACGGCAATTTCTTTGTGCGCTCTACAGATCTCCTTGCCATGCCTGCGGTACCTCAAGACCAGTCGTACGCTATCGAGGTACAAATTGAAGATACTATCACAGCACCCTTCGTTGTCTTCCAGACTGCTGTGCTTCACACTACGTGCTACGGTATGTGTGGTCATCACATTTGAAAGTCATACATTTATGAGTTCATACTGTGCAGGCGAGCGACGAATCCGTGTCGTCACTCAGGCACTGCCGACCACGAACAACCTGTCCGAAATCTTCGCATCGGCGGACCAGATCGCGATTGCCACGTTATTGGCGAACAAGGCCGTTGAGCGCTCCATCACCCACAAGTTGGAGGATGCCCGCGATGCATTGTTCAACAAGATGGTGGAGATTCTCCAGGCGTACAAGGCGAGCATGACAGCAGCAGGCGCAGGTGCTAGTGCACAGCTTGCAATCTCTGAGAATCTCAAGCTGCTGCCTGTCCTTGTTCTGGGATTAATTAAGAACGTAAGCGAGGAGTATATATGCGATCAGTGAATGCATTGATAAACGAGTTGTGCACAGGTTGGCGTTCGACAGAGCGCGCAGATCCCTCCTGATCTCCGGGCATATGCTCAGGCGCTCCTTACGTCGCTTCCCTCACAAGTGCTCGTTCCGTATATTCATCCGACATTCTACTCGCTACATAATATGTCCCCCGAAGTCAGTCTACTGTTTGCCATCAAATTTGAATGTCACTAATCTCGACGCATTTAGTGCGGCACTGTTGGAGAGCACGGCGTCATAATGCCTCCTCCCCTTCCCCTCACTTCTGAGAGGCTGGAAAGGCATGGTCTGTTCCTCATTGAGGATGGGCAAACGATCTTCCTCTGGGTTGGACGTGATGCCGTACCTCAGCTTGTCATGGACGTTTTCAACCTGCCTAATTACGAAGTTTTGCGTGGAGGGAAGGTAAGCGGACATCTCTCTTTCAAATATCATGGGAATGCGCTCACGCTGTTCCAGACGACATTGCCGCTCCTGGACAACCCTTTCTCGCAACGGGTGAATGCTGTTGTGCAAAAGACGCGTGAGATGCGTCGCGGCGTATACTACCCACATCTTTACGTCGTTAAGGAGGATGGAGAACCGCCACTGCGACTGTGGGCTCTGAGCTGCCTCATTCAAGACCGTGCGGATGTGCTGCCAAGTTACCAGCAATTCATTTCTCAGCTGAGGGATAAGGTCAGTTCTCGTCTTTATAAGCTTAACCATCGCTAATCAGATACTCCAAAGGCTAATGGGTCGAGCTATTAAACTTTCTCGTCGCGTAGTGTGATTTTTATAAATATTCATCTTCGTGATTATGGTATCTCAGAACACGTTGCGTACGGCATGATAGCAGAGTGACTTAGATGAGGCGCAAGATTATGCTAAATCCATTGTGAGCGATACCATCCGTCTGGAATATGACGGGAAAATATGGACGTGAAGACCAAGACGCTATGATAACATATGGGACAAATGTACACATGACATCTTGGAGACATCTATCATCGTTTCCTTCTAGAAGTAGCCTTGGATGCAGCTGTGCTCCCTGCAACAGATTTACGCGAACTGCGTGTTTTCGCAGGAGGCTTTTGAGGGGAAGGAGGTTCTGGAGATGATGAGCCGACGGACGAGACGGTAGATAGCCGTGTAGATCGCCGTGGCCGTCGTGTTAGTTCTGCCTCTGTCATGTCATCGTTGTTGCTACCGCGGGGCGCGCGACTTTTGCGGGTGCTGCGTCGAGCAGCTGGAGTGGTCGGCGGGAGGGGCGGAAGCTCATCCTCCTCTTCCTCCTCTTCGTCCATCAACGCACCTGGTATACTACGGCTAAGATCGCGTTCTTTGGTGATAGGCTTGTGAGTGCGTGCTGTGCGCCTCGGAGTGCGTAGTGGTGGAGGCGACGGCGAACGCGGACGGAGTGCAGGCTGTTGCCTGCGCGACTTCCGAGTCGGCGTGGGTGGCGCAGGCTCGCTGTCCTCGTCAGAATCTGGATCAAACGCCCCAGGAAGCACCTTGCTCCTAGATTCTGGCGGAGAGAGCTGCGGTTTGCCGGCACTGGCAGAGGATATAGGATTAAATATGGAAGCTGTGAACTGCGGCGCAGATTCGCCGTTCTCATGACTGTCGTGGTTACTATGCGAGGCGTCCGCATGGCCGTTCGGGACAACCTCCTTCTCGTCGGTTTCCATCTCGACATCCCCGTTGAGCATGTCTTCAACCGCTGTGAGTGATGGCCCTTCAAATTGCTGAGAACTCGACAACGGCGTTTTACTTGTGTCCTGACCAAACGACCGTGTCATGCCGGCAGAAACAGAAATGGGTGGCTGATAAAATGCGTTCGGTGTTTGATTGGCACTTCCTACTGTATCAAAGAGAGAACCTGTGCGTGCATTGGTCGGAATACCGAAAGAGCTACTTTGGGCGGCACGACTTGTTGAAGATTGCAGCATCGATGACCCGGGTAGACCAACATGGCCCTCTTGCCGCATGCCCGAGATACTGGAGCCAAATAGAGGAAGGGCTTGCGAAGCGGAAACGGGGGCAGACCCTGGTACATGAGATGCGCTTGTGGACAAGATGGGCGGAAGCATCTCCGCCGTAGAGCTAGGCTCAGGAAGCGGTCCGCCGAATCGAGGTGCCCCCGAACGGTGTGGTATAGCTACCGCATGTGAGTCGCCAAAGTTAGTCGAGAGACGTGGCCCAGTAAAGGAAGAACCTCCGTTAGCGGATACTGTTGGGGCACGGACACTCTCCCAAGACGCATCGAGGTTGAGGTTGCTGTTGACTTTAGCAGACCATGACATGGATAATGATGGTCGGCCAGTTCCCTTGCCCCGTGCGAGCTCTTCTAACTCTACTTCAAGTAACTGCCGCTCCGCAACTGGCATCGCAGCCATAATATCGTCAACCATCTGTCTCCGCTCCTGCGCAGCCTTGTGATATTTGTCGCCTGCCTTCTGAGTGACACGGGCAGATAGCTGCCTCTCAAGCTTGACAGCCGCAGCATAACGACCAGCTTGCACGAGTCGCAGACAAACCAGATCCTGCACAACTGGAACCGATGATGGGGGAAGGTGCGAAGGAGGTTCGATTGCATATGAATGGAGCAGTTCCTCTTCGTATCCCGACAGTGGGAACGCAAGAAGCTGTTTGAGAGGTGTCGAGCGCGGCTTTGCTGAACGCAGGACGAAGGCTAAGCACACACCGTCAACGCGCACGGAGACGAAACCTGTACTCACGATCAAGACACCAGCCCAGGATTTTACGCACAAGTCGCTCGCGCGTCTCCCCTTTCTCGGAGAAGGTCCTTTGGTACTGCCACGCCTCCATGAAGCTCCCATCAACCAGCGCAATCGTGTATGCGTCAATGTCATCCGGCTCAGTCAGCAGCGGTCTGGCTGTGTGAACATACTTGCGAATGAGAGGGTTGGGGTTGTCGGCGAGAGAGAGCGCTTGTAGAATCTTGGACGTGTAATCCCTGTTCAAGCGCGCGTCTGAAAGCAAACAGACGGCCCTCTTGTAACACCGTTTAGTATGAGACACGCATTTTCTGAGATGAAAACGCGCACAGAAATGTCGATACCCGAATCCAGGTGCCAGTACGCGTCTGCTAGAGCCACAAATTGAGGCGGTATGGATCGCAAGTCCTTGAATACACTTTCGCGGCCGTCGCGGTGCCACTTAAGGAGGAAATAAACCAGACAATCCTGCTTTAGAGTATCATACGTCGACTCTTCGATTGCATCCAAGAGGCGCTTCAGTGTCTGGGCGTCCGTGGGTGGATATAGAGCAGCGCCGTGACGAACGCCACCGGAGGAAAGCAAGATGTCGAATATGAGAGTATCAGACATCTTGACACGCCGATCTTCAATCTCCTGAGCTATTGGGGGTCTCCACGGAAAGTATTCGGGATCGAGGTCAAACATTTCAATCAATGTCTCCTCGTGGAGCGCGTCTGGTGGGCCATCCTGGAGCATTCTAAGTCTGCGCCCTGTGCATGAGTGTACGCTGGTGCACTCACAACATCCATGACTATAAACTTTGAGGAAGATGCTCGTTCAAGCAGAAAGACGTGAGCCTTCAGCCGTGAAATTGAACAGGTGAAGAGCCAATAAAAACGACCGACGTTTCTGCTTGGTAGGTTTATTAGCTAAGTTCAAGACCAAAATTGTGGCAGCCGAGTGAGTACCTATAGGGCACGAATATACTGTACACCTAGATACGTCCTACACCAGAGAATAATAACGAGCGCGGTGGTTTGACTGGAATGAGCGTCCGGATGGACGCACTCCCAGTTCAGTTCTTCTCAAGACACGCGTAGAACAATAGATCACGTGCACTACGCGTTCCACGCGACGACTCCCGATTGCGCTCATTGTCAAATGGATATTCAAGGAAAATCACAGCGAGTAGCCTGTATGGCCAGGAGAATGCTGAATGCTCAGAACATGCGCGAGTGTATTAGAGAACAAAGTCTGGTATTACTATAGCCGCAATGGGACCAGTTTCCTGCCCCGCTCCCGCTCGAGCTCGTCCTGAGCCCGCAACCCAGCACCCTTGTCCATCCTCCGTCCCTTGCCTCCCACTCCATTGCCCATGCCCAGTGGAGAGTTCCCCGGCATCAACATGCGCATCAGCGCCCTCACAACTTGCAGCGGATTCCGGCTTCCCCACACCTTCGCACTCACGTCCTTGATCCCCGCCGCCTTGAGGATCTGGTAGATGTTTGGGTTGCACCGGAGCCCAAACCCAACCGGCCGCGGCCGCAGGATAATGCGGGTCGAACCAAACTTGCTCTCCATCTCCGTCCAGACGGTGCGGGCCTCGAACCGCTCGATGTAGTCCATGTTGCGCACGGCCTCCTTCAGCGCCGCCTGGGACGCGCGCTGCGCCTCGTCCGCCTTGCCCTCGCCAATCCCGACCAGGCCGTTCTGGTTTCCAACCACCATGACGACGTGCTGGCGCGGGATCTTGCCCTTGCCCGTCTGTTGCACGACGCGGCGCCGCAGAATGGGGTACCTGTACAGACGGCTGATTTCTGCGGGGGTCAGGTGAAGGAACGTGAGAGGGCCGTTTGTGTCTTTGCGCGCGCGACTTGCTTGCTCGGCAGCAAAGGGGTCATTCAATTTTGCTTGGTCCCGCAGGGCGGTGAACATGGAGGGGTCATTGCGGATGATGACCTTATTTTGGAAGGGTGTGCGACGGCTGGGTGCGAACGTCTGGGCTTCGTGCAGGTCCATGATAATGTCCGGCTGCATCAGGTCTGGATAGGGCGACTCCAACCCCTCGAGAGATGTTTCTTGGCCATGAGGAGGCAAGGCGTCGGACGAGGAGGGCGCGTTAGAGTCAGTAGAGTTGTGACGCACGAAGGCTGCCGGTACGGATAGCTGAGTCCTACATCGTCGCAGACGAGCAGCATGCGAGGCAAGATGTCTGGTGAGGCCGTTCATGGCTAGCGACGGCGTGCCGCTGGACAGAGGTGGTCCCTTTGAGCTGGACGTTGTGCCAATCACCGAAACTGGACACAGTCCTCGTTGGGAAAGCGTGACGCGTCCGGCGGTCACAATGTCACGCTCGATCGTGCTTGCGCGGACTGTTCACAGCGGCAGCTCGAGCACTCTACTTTATGGACGAGAATTCCGTGTCATCTCTGCTCGAAGGGTCTGATTTGGCCAACCTGTATACCAGCATCGACAAGACCAAGTGAGCTGGCGCAACCTCTTCTTTGACGCCGGCCGTAACGAACGAAAGCGTGCATGGCTTGAATTTAACCGTTCCAGAGGACGCACAGGCAATCATCAAACCCTGGAACGAGAGGAACGACACCTCACATTCCGCAGAGTCCGGAGTTGACGACCAGGTGGGGTTGCACTTCGCCCCTTCACTTCTACTTTGTCTCACGCGGCGCAGATCATCATCCATGTCCCCTTCACCCAGAACGTTCGCGTGCGGTCTGTGCTCCTGAAGCTCGGTGGGTCTCCGCACCCATCTTACGTTCAGGCAGTGCGTAACCCACCCCTGCAGGTAGGGGCGAAGTCGCGCCACGGCACCTCCGCATTTACGCAAACCACACGAACATCGTCGACTTTGCGGAAGCAGAGGACGTCGCGCCAGCGATGGACCTCAGCCTGCTCGAGGGCGAGATTGGCGTGACGGAGTACCCGATGCGCAACGCGGCCTTCGCCAACATCCACTCCCTGTCACTCTTCTTCGTGCGTCCCCTCTGTTGTGACGCCGCGTACCACGCGCACTTACGCGTCGTTTCAGAGCGAAGCCGTTGGCGGCGAATTCATCACTATTTATTACCTCGGATTCAGAGGCGATGCGCGGCTGCAGCGCAAAGACGTCACGCAGAAGCTTGAGGTCCCCGCTGCGAACGCCGCAGATGCATCTCTTGTAGATCGGTTAGCCGAGAAGACTGGCGGCCAACAGACCACCGCGAGATAGTCCGGCGTGTGCACACGTTGCCTTGTCATCATAGAGGTTCTTTGTGTTTCTACTGTTGTTCAGTATTGTCTTAATATGGAATCTCAGTCGTAGAACATCGGAATTCGCGTAGTGCATAGTGCATATGTGATTGCATAGTACAACGGGGAGTTCTTTGAATCGTACACGGCTCTACCGAGATAAAGATAGGAAAATAGTGATGCAAGTTAACTGCCAGCTGTCGGTGAATGCTATGCGAGAATGCTATGTTGCGGGTAAACGATGTAATGCGGGTGATGTGAATGCTATGTAGGTGATGCAAATGTATGTGAATAACAATAAGTCCAGGTCCATTATGCGAGCAATACTGCGAGCAGCTTTCCAGGCGAGAACCATGCTCGTGCCCTGCTGGGACGGCCGGCGCGCTGCGTGTCCACAAGCTTTGTCTCCTTCGCTTCCAGAGGGGGAAGACACATGTATGCTTGTGGAGATGGGGAGGTCGAGGTGGATTGTGTAAAAGCCCAATGCGTGTAGGGAGTCGGCTCCGATTCTGTCTGCGTCGCATGATTCCGGTAGGCCGGTGACGTCGCGGAAGACCGTACGGCAGGGGACGCCGAGCGACGGGGAAACGCCAGCCGAATCGGATTCAAGAAGCTCGACGTGTGCGTCTTGCGGTCGCGCGCGGCCGGCGAAAGCGTCGGACGAAATGGCAGAGGTGGAGGCGAAGTAGGTGATACAAGAAAGGAAAACGGGCTGGGTGATTTCTCCCTCTGGGAGTCTGGCAGACGATTCAACGCCGCATAGGAAGGCTCGGCCCAGGCTCGCTCTGACTGCGGAGAAGGGGCAGGGGTCGTGCCGAAAGAAAGGAAGGAATAACCCGAGGCGGCTACGTCTGGGGGGATGCTGGACGGGGCAGAGTACTGCTCCCAGTCGTAGTCGTATTGCTCAACTGCGGTAAGGCTTCCGGATCTCGATCCTGAATCCAGACCCAGGATAGAAGACTCCGGCCTGGTGGCGGACATATTGTCAGCGTCAATAGTGGGATAGGTGTACGTCGACTTTACATCCATGCCATCGTCCGCGGTCGCGGGCGTCGTGATCATGCCAATGTCCTCGGGGGAGGTGAACAGCAGCGACGTCTTCTCGGGAATGGTAGCGGAGAGGAAGGGCGAGTACATCCCGTAAGCCTCCACGTGTGACTCGAGCGCCGTGTGCATCGACGAGGAGCGCGCGGACACCATCATGACGTTGTGGTCGTAATATTGAGGCTGGCATCCGTTTGTGTCCAGCGTCAACTTCAAGCTTGGACGCTTGTTCGCTGGTTGACTCCATGCCGCGTCAAGGCCAGGGGTCGCAGGCAAGGAAGGAATCGAGGGCGATGTGGACACCACCGAATACATAGATGGGCTGCTGGGCGTCTGCGTGGCATCAAACAGCTTCGTGGTCGTGAACAGAGGAGAGGTCGGGGACGGGGACATAGAGCGGGAATACGAGTCGCGCCTCGTGGCGTAAGACTCCGAGTCCGTCCAGGAAGAGTTGTCCGTCTCGGGATGAGGGGCAAACACCATCTCGGAGTCGGCATCGCTCCATGTCGAAGTGTACCCCTCGTCTTCGAGCGCAGCTCGAGGTTCGGACTCCTCAGCAGATAAGTTGTCGTCAACCTCGCCCTCGGCATCGGCATCACCGTCCACGTTCAAACCAGCCTCCCAAGGGCATCGTGCCATGCTGTCCTCAAAGAGAACGTCCGGGGAATAGAAGTTGGTGATGCGCTCAACGCATCGTCGCATCTCCTGCAGTGAGATACGCTTGTGATAGTCGACTTCGAGCGTCCGTGTGAGCAAGATGTTTACTTCCTCTGAGATGGGGAGGACGGTGGGGAGGAAGTGCATGGGGTTGCGGAGATAAGCTTGGAACGTGCAATCGTCATATGCGGCAGACTTCCACGGGTTTCGGCCGGTGATGAGGTTGAGCAGGATGATACCGAGCGACCAGATGTCGTTGGAGCGAGGCGAGTAACTGCGCGGACCCCACTGGCTCCCTTGACATTCTGAGAGTCGGTGAGTACCTGGCTGTAGAGAAAATGCCGATTGGCTCACCTGGGCTCATGTGGTACACGCTTCCCGTACGGAATTCTGTGCTCTCCTCCTCGGTGGTGGCGAGGCCAAAGTCAGTAATGGCGAGTCGGAGACCGCGGTCGAAACAAAGGATATTTTCGGGCTTCAAGTCGCGATGATAAATATGCATAGAGTGACAGTATTCGACTGCGTCAAGCAGCTGGAGGAAGACCTCCTTGATGAGATCGGTGCGGCCCAAATAGCGGCGGTGGTGGAGGATTTGGGAGAAGAGGTCGCCGTCTTGGCAGTACTCCATGACGATGTAGGTGTAGTGGTAGTCCTCTATGACGCGATGGAGGGTGACGACGTTGGGATGGCGGGAGGCGACTTGGTGGAGGCGGATTTCGCGCATGTGCAGCTGGTGCTGGCGCTGGGCGTTGCGCTTGTGGGAGCGTGGCAAGCATTTGACGGCGTAGGATGTGGGTGAAGAGGAGCAGGTATCAATGGCGCGGTACACGACACCATAGCCACCATATCCGAGGACCTCGACGAGCTGGAGGGACTCATTGTCGATATAGGTGCCGAGTGGCGGGGGTGAGGGAGAGCTTGCGGACTCTGAGGCGCTGACCATGGCGGCCGGAATCTAGAGGGAGAAGAGGAGAATGTGGGATGGACCGCAGAGACAGAGGATGGGGGAGAGGGCGGAGGGATATATACAAGGACGGCAGGGGAGAGAACGTGACTGCCTGTCGTCCTGAGCGTGGAGAACATGAGGCAGGACGAGATGTTGTGACAGAATACGAAGACGGTGGTAGATCCGAGTGGCAGTGAGAACAAAGAATCCCTGCACGCCCAGGGCGAGATCGCAGAGATGGCACAACGAGTCCACATCGTGTTTGTCTCCTGGGGCGGCCATGGTGCCAGCGGCCAGCCTGCGCTCAGACGGCCACCGCCTCGGCTGTCTGTCTGCGGGGCGTCTTGTCGGCCCTGTC